TCATCCAACCACTCACTCAACAAGTCACTTAACCACTCACAAAACAAGTCATCCAACCACTCACTCAACAAGTCACTCAACCACTCACTCAACAAGTCACTCAACCACTCACACAACAAGTCCCTCAACCACTCACACAACCAGTCATCCAACCACTCACTCAACAAGTCACTCAACCACTCACTCAACAAGTCACTCAACCACTCATTCAACTAGTCACTCAACCACTCACTCAACAAGTCACTCCACCACTCACTCAACAACTCACTCAACAAGTCACTCACTCTATCAACAAGTCACTCAACAACTCTTTCAACAACGCACTCAACCACTCACTCAACAAGTCACTCAACCACTCACACAACAAGTCATCCAACCACTCACTCAACAAGTCATTCAACCACTCACACAACAAGTCATCCAACCACTCACTCAACAAGTCACTCAACCACTCACTCAACAAGTCACTCAACCACTCACACAACAAGTCACTCAACCACTCACACAACCAGTCATCCAACCACTCACTCAACAAGTCACTCAACCACTCACACAGCAAGTCATCCAACCACTCACTCAACAAGTCACTCAACCACTCACTCAACAAGTCACTCAACCACTCACTCAACAAGTCACTCAACCACTCATTCAACTAGTCACTCAACCACTCACTCAACAAGTCACTCAACCACTCACACAACAAGTCACTCAACCACTAACTCAACAAGTCACTCAACCACTCACTCAACAAGTCACTCAACAAATCACTCAACCATTCACTCGACAAGTCACTCAACCACTCACTCAACAAGTCACTCAACCACTCACTCAACAAGTCATCAAACCACTCACTCAACAAGTCACTCAACCACTCACACAACAAGTCATCAAACCACTCACTCAACCACTCACACAACAAGTCATCCAACCACTCACTCAACAAGTCACTCAACCACTCACTCAACCACTCACACAACCAGTCATCCAACCACTCACTCAACAAGTCACTCAACCACTCACTCAACAAGTCACTCGACCACTCCCTCAACAAGTCATCAAACCACTCATTCAACTAGTCACTCAACCACTCACTCAACAAGTCACTCCACCACTCACTCAACAACTCACTCAACAAGTCACTCACTCTATCAACAAGTCACTCAACAACTCATTCAACAACGCACTCAACCACTCACTCAACAAGTCACTCAACCACTCACACAACAAGTCACTCAACCACTAACTCAACAAGTCACTCAACCACTCACTCAACAAGTCACTCAACAAATCACTCAACCATTCACTCGACAAGTCACTCAACCACTCACTCAACAAGTCACTCAACCACTCAAAAACACACTCAACCACTCACTCAACAAGTCACTCCACCACTCACTCAACAAATCACTCGACAAGTCACTCAACCACTGACTCAACAAGTCACTCAACCATTCACTCGACAAGTCACTCAACCACTCACTCAACAAATCACTCAACCATTCACTCGACAAGTCATTCAACCACTCACTCAACAAGTCACTCAACCACTCACTCAACAAGTCACTCAACCACTCACTCAACAAGTCACTCAACAAATCACTCAACCATTCACTCGACAAGTCACTCAACCACTGACTTAACAAGTCACTCAACCACTCACTCAACAAGTCACTTAACCACTCACTCAACAAGTTACTCAACCACTCACTCAACAAGTAACTCAACCATTCACTCAACCACTCACTCAACCACTCACTTAAAAACACACTCAACCATTCGCTCAACAAGTCACCCAAACACTCACTCAACAAGTCACTCAACCACTCACTCAACAAGTCACTCAACAAGTCACTTAACCACTCACACAACAAGTCACTCAACCACTCAAAAACACACTCGACCATCCACTTAAAAACACACTCAACCATTCACTCAACCATTCACTCAACAAATCACTCAACTACTCACTCGACAAGTCACTCAACCACTGATTCAACAAGTCACTCAACCACTCACTCAACAAGTCACTCTTCAAGTCACTAAACCATTCACTCAAAAAGTCACTCAACCACTCACTCAACAAGTCACTCAACCACTCAAAAACACACTCAACCATCCACTCAACAAGTCACTCAACAAGTCACTCAACCACTCAAAAACACACTCAACCATCCACTTAAAAACACACTCAACCATTCAATCAACCATTCACTCAACCATTCACTCAACCACTCACTCAACAAGTCACTCACCACTCACTCAACAAGTCACTCAACCACTCACTCAACAAGTCACTCAACCACTCAAAAACACACCCAACCATCCACTTAAAAACACACTCAACAAGTCACTCCACAACTCGCTCGGCCAATCAATTAACCACTCACTCGGCCAATCACTTAACCACTCACTCGGCCAATCACTCAACCACTCACTCGGCCATTCACTCAACCGCTCACTCACCCACTCCACTCACTTTCCTCTTCCTCCGTCCATACAGGTCGCAGCCCCAGTGTATGGGATGTATACTCTCACACGCCCGGGAAAACAGACCAAGGAGACACGGGCGACGTTGCAGCAGACAGCTACAGCAAGTACAGCGACGATATCAACATGCTCAAAGAGTTAGGGGTAATCGTTTGTATTGGAATTTTAGTTCAGCACATTATTTCAAACATAAGGAGGATCTAGGAGGTGCATATTTATTTTTTCACATTTTTTACATCGACCATGTCCGTGGAACATTTTTTGTCTTTTATAAACTTTGAATAGATAACTGTTTCCATTACTTTCTGGAAAAGAATATAAAATGGTAGGTTCCTTTAGGTTCATGTGAAGAGTGCTGTGCAACGGAATCCAAACATATCTTAATTACTGATTTAATGTGCATCATGAACAAAAATATTTATTTTCGAGACATACTCATATGCGCCTCAAATGCAAAAGTGTGACGCATTGCATTCCTGATCAAGATTAATTAATTACAATCCCGTTGGTGATTCCAGGTTAGAGTAGTTCCCATCAACCTAGGATGGTCGTAAGAGGCGACTCAATGGATCGGGCGGTCAGGCTCGGTGACTTTATTAATTGCATGTAATGGTATCCCGAGTGAGTGAGTGAGTTTGGTTTTACGCCGCTTTTAGCAATATTTCAGCAATATCACGCCGGGGGACACCAGAAATGGGCTTCACACATTGTACCCATGTCGGGATTCAAACCCGGGTCTTCGGCGTGACGAGCGAACGCTTTAACCACTAGGCAACCCGACCGCCCCTAATCGTGTCCCGACCGAATGGATCGTTGCTCATGATATCAATCACAGGAGTGCCTGGTACAGACTCGATTTATTTCAGACCGCCGTTATATGGCTTGAATACTGCTGAGTGTGACTTTAAACAACAAACAAACACTTATTACACAGACGTCAGTCTTAATCGTCTATGTGGATAAAGGCGTAAAACTGAACTTTTGAAGAACATTGGGTTTACATTTATTCTAATCTCACATTTCCCCGCGAATATAATGACCGCCTCCGTGGTCTAGTGGTAGAGCGTCCGCCCGGAGAGCGGAAGGTCCGGGGTTCGATCCCCGGGGGCGCCATACCAAAAGACGTTAAAATATGGTACTTGTTGTTACCCTGTCTGGCGCTCGGCATTAAGGGGATAAAACAAGGACTGGCCGGGTCGGAGTGAGTATACTGTGTCTGACTGGGGTATTCATGTTAAACTGCGGCATGGTATTGTAGTGGGCTGGCACTATAAATCGGCATCAGTCCGGACTAGCACAAGCAGCCACACACACACGTACATGCACGTCGCTATAACGCGACGTTAAACCCCATTTCACCTCACCTCACCCCGCGAATATCCGGGTTAAAATGGGTCTTCAGCAACCCATGCTGGTAAGAGGCAACTAACGGAATGGTGTGGTCAGGCTCGCTGACTTTCGTTGATGCTTGTCATCGTATCCCTGTTCCATAGACGGATGCTCATGATGTCAATCACTGGATAGTTTGGACCAGGCGCGATTATTTACAGACCGGCGGCATAAATCTGGAATGATGAGTGTGGCGTTCAACAAACAAACATAATATCACATTGTTTGTGAATATATACTTAAAATAGGCCATGTTTCATCACCAGGTGAAGTCGTACCACATGTCCATATCCTGGTCTCGCCTCATGCTCAATAGAACAGATGTAAACCAACCAGGCGTCAACTACTACAACAGCATCTTCACCGCCCTACGCAACAGCAGCATTGAGCCCTATGTGACGCTGTACCACTACGACTTGCCGGAGTTTCTAGAGAGGAGAGGAGGGTGGCTGAATGAGGACATTATCCACGACTTTGAAGTATACGCAGGACAATGTTTCACACATTTTGGAAGTCAGGTATAACTATGCCAAAACTAGTCTGCCCTTTTTTAATTCATATTTCAATATGAAAGCTGAATCATCAATATTGTGTTAATCAAACGTCAGTATTTGTCTGAAGAAGACAAATATTGTGTTAACGATATAAACTCGAAATAACATTATGTTGTGTTGTACATTCACTGATGCATTTTATATTTAACATAATAGGTGAAGTATTGGGTATCAATGCATGATCCAAGGAGCGTGGCGTGGAGGGGGTACGGGGAGGGATCGGCACCCCCGGGAAGATATGAGCCGGGGTGGAACCCGTACATTGCTGCGAATAACCTGCTCCGGGCTCATAGAAAAGCCCAGGAGGCGTTTCGCCCATTTAAGGGCAGTACAGGTAACATAAAACAGTGTTCTGCTTTTGTACGTTGTCATTGTAGGAGGGAGGAAACTGTAGATAGTAAACATCAAATTACGAATGCCCACCGCTCAATACTCTTATCATCGTAAATTCAAAACGTCATCGAAAGTCTTGATTATCTGCCTAAACAGATTCCATAGAGCCAAAATGGGGATGGAAATTATGTGAATGATTCTGTGAAAATCAGTGATGACACCAGGTGTTCGCGAAAGGGGTAAGCATGCCCTGGCCTACCGGTAGCACGCGACAACACATTAAAATTAAGACGTGCTTTTTTTTTGCCCGACGCCCCGCAGTAGTACTCCTGCCAACGTGACGGCGGTCCATTTATACTTGACATGATTTCATCGACAGTATGACTACTAATCGTTTAGCTTGTAATTTTGTTTAATTTTCAATTATTTTTTGGGACCAATCATTTAATATTCTGTTGGTTTGGGTCATCAGATTTGTGATATTTTCGGTCACTGCCTCAACCAACAATTTCATCTCTGAAAGGAAGAGCCGAACAGTTTCCCCAAAGACCTGGTAACATCAGTAATTTTCAATGATCCAATAATATATTCTTCACCGCCAATGTGCCTTTTACCCCCAAATAAGTGGGTGGGTGGAGAAAACCTGGGGAAAAAACTCTATCTCGGTTGCCCCTCCACCCTTTCTCACTAAGTGCAATGAGGAATAAGTGGGTCCGGCCAAACGCGGTTTCACTGTACAGCTCTTGATATTTTTCCAACGTAGGTCAACTGGGGATATCGCTGACAACTAATATATACCAGCCCATGGATCCTTCGAATCCTGATGACGTCCGAGCTAGTGACAGAGCGCTTCAGTTTGACTTCGGGTGGTTCATGTCCCCCTTGACCACGGGTAGCTACCCGGATATCATGACGCGCCAGGTTGGGGAGAAGAGTCAGGCCTACGGGGTACAATCCCAGCTTCCCCGGATACAGGACTACCTGCCTTCAACTACCCGTACGTGCCACTATATCAGCGATCATGTATTTGATTTGGATAACAATTGCATCGGAAAATACCCAGCAGACATACCTGTTTATATACATGTATTATGGTCAAATAATTTGATGATTGTTAATCATCAGTGAACAATATAGATATGAACAGTCAAAATATTGTATTAAATACCCAAACTTTTTGCTGACTCCTTATAATTCATATATTAGATAGCGAAAAATGAAATTATGAACATTTCTTCTATGTAACGGCTACATGTATGCATGCCTACAGTCTCAACGAATTTCGTGGTGGTCACAATCAACGCCGTTTTCAATGTGAGTCATGTGCCACGACCAAGTAACACTCCAAGCTACATGGATGACCAAGATGTCCGAATGGTCAAGCTTGACCACTGGCCAGAGTAGGTTTCTTTAATATTATGCTTTTTATTTTACTAGTCCCTTCTCAGTCAGTACAATATCGCACTATATTCCTACGTGGTGTTATATAAAAGCGTCAGAAACCTTTTCAATAATGAAGGCCATTTTACGATTTCGACTACCCCATAAGCATGTGTTTATGAGTCACTCTATCAAATAGTGATAACACCAGGTGTTCGCGAGGTGTGCGCATCCTGCCCCATCACATCACAACACACGTTCATTCACACTTATGACTAATGCACGCCTTAATTAATTATAACAGTTAACTGGCAGATATCGTATAAACCTAACGAAAGTCCTGTACGTGTATACAAGCACTTCTAGTGATGTAGTACAACTGATATTGTTGTACTTTGTGCTTACTTGATCTGTCAACGTGTAATATAACATGTTACAAATCATAACAAAGAACAGTGCATTGATGAATAGGCTCAAACGTCTAATTGCCCACGCCTCTACGCGCCCCAACTCGCTATGCGGATTTGCTTACCTTAGGCCTGGCAAAAACTTGTGCTCCTGGGGTCCGTTCCACAAAGCGATCGTAGCGCTAAGGTGATCGTCACTCCCATACTTTAACATAGACTTACGACTGTCGTAGCGCAACGATCGCATTATGGAACAATCCCAGATTCACCCTGATCAGGCTGGTAGATTGGTCGGGACTATACTGACGCATGTGTTTCATCAAATTGGTAATGTCTAAGCTCTGCATCACGTTGGGCTTTCCTCTCATATCTCTCATATCTCATATCATCTGTTGAAACCTGCTTTCTCACATTAAATACCCACTATGAATCTACTGTACCACGCATTCGTAACAAACCGACCGCCTCCGTGGTAGAGCGTCCGCCGGGAGAGCGGAAGGTCTGGGGTTCGATCCCCGGCCGCGTCATACCAAAAGACGTTAAAGATTATACTTGTTGTTACCCTGCCTGGCGCTCGGCATTAAGGGGCTAAAACAAGGACTGGTCGGCTCGGAGTCAGTATACTGTGTCTAACCTACAAATCAGCTGAATACAGTATAATGTTTAATATTTTTGCACCTTTTGGAATTATGAATACATGACACTTTGATATGGATAACGACTTCTTTTGCAATTGATAGAGACTCCGTGAGATCGTTCCTGAGTTACATCAAGAGCAACACCTCCATGGGGATGTATGTGACGGGTGGGATTGCTACAGAGGATGCTAGTCTGAGGGACACTCACCGTGTTGACTTCTTCAAGTGGCATGTTGACCAGGTCCTAAAGGGTGAGTTGGTGAGTGAGTGAGTGAGTTAGTATGGTTTTACGCCGCTTTTAGCAATATTCCTGCAATATCACGGCGGGGGACACCAGAAATGGGCTTCGCACATTGTACCCATGTCGAAAATCGAACCCGGATCTTCGGCGTGACGAGCGAACGCTTTAACCACTAGGCTACCCGATCGCCCCCTTGAAGGGTGAGACCCAGAGTGGATGTATATACGTGGTTGCTATCAATATACATGTGTCTAAGCAAGCCAAGTATCAGTGTGAAAAACTGAGGCTATTTGGCCATGTTGATTTATTAGATCTCGGTGTGGTCTCCCACTTTCCTTATCTAGATGCATATTTGCACGTATTCTACAGTTCAGGATAATATTTTTATATTTTCATCAACCTCCAAAGGCCTTATCTATTTGTAATTAATAAGATAACATCTCAGCCTAAGCGTTCTGGTCTCAAATCCCTTTTAGTCTTCAGGTGACATATTTAGCAGTCAAATTAACCATTTTAATGTTGTTCATTCTAGTCCAAAAGGCCTTTTGTGTCTTGATATGATATAAATTATTAAACATATGTTGTTCGTTTTGCGTCTCAATAAAATATCTTAGTTTAATTCATTGAAATAATTGTTTGTTTTTGTTGTTTAACGCCGCACTCAGCAATATTCCAGCTATACAACGGCGGTCTGTAAATAATCGCGTCTGTACCAAACGTCATGAGCATCGATCTAGGCAAATGGGATGCAATAACATACATCAACCAAACCGAGTCTGTCCACCCGATCCCGTTAGTCGCCTCTTACGACACGCATGGGTTGCTGAAGACCAATTCAATCCCAGATGTTTGCGGGTTCAATCCTTATAATCAGGATTAATTATTTTCATTTCCTCCCCTGAATTATTTTTTCAGCCCAACAGTTGGACAAATGCAATGTACTTGGTTACATCGCCAGGCCTTTAATGGACTGTTTTGAATGGTCTCGTGGCTACGCACTGAAAGGTGGATTGTTTTCCGTCGACTTCTCCAACTCCACGAGACCCCGCAAACCTCGGGTATCGTCTCGTTACTACAAACAAATTGTGTCTGAAAACGGCATCCTCCCAGGGTACAGTGGGCGAGGCGGCGTGGCTTCCGGTTTTGTTCCTATGGAAGACGATAGCGACATTCTGTATGACACGTTCCCAGAGGGCTTTGCGTGGGCTGCAGCTACTTCCGCATATCAGATTGAAGGAGGATGGAATGCTGACGGTAGTACTAACATTTCCTTTGTTCTAAATGTTTGTCTAGCATGTCGTAAAGATCCAGCAGAAGATTGATTTTGCAGGATGGATGTTTTAATTGATTTGCGTCCATTGGGCGTGCTGGATAGTGGGTTCGAATCCCAGATTCACCCTGATTATGTTTCACGGTTTTTAGGAAAATTTTAATACAAATATATTTTTAATATTATTCAAGTCATTCAAAATTCAAACTGGTTTTCTGAAAACTCACATTTTACGAAGTTATCCAATCTACCAGTTGGTGGTCAATCTAATTGAACAACATCATGTTTCAATATGACACAAGCCATCGATTATAAGGTGAAAACATAGCCCGGTCATAAAGCGTACTCCCCGTTTAATTGCAGGCAAAGGGGAGAGTATCTGGGACAGACTGGTTCAGACCACAGACAGTGTGGAACAGGGGGCTACTGGGGACGTCGCCTGTGACAGCTACCACAAGTACAAGGAGGACGTTCAGCTGCTCAAAAACTTGCACGTGGGTATCATGTAATGAGCAAAGCCTGCCTCTGACGAGTAACGTAAAAACGAACGACCTAGGGATGTGCACTGTTTGGCAGTGTCTCAGCAATATTAAGGCATTGGCCACAAGGAAATGGCCTCAAGAACGTGTCTCGAAACGTACATGTATGAAGTTTCGCTAAATACATTCTTTTTTAAAATTCAAATCGAATTTAAAATAGTTTGATTTTAAGGCATTACTTCAACTATATGCTGACTTGAATATGATTCCGAGGGTGCAAGTTGGAAGGACATCAATGCAATCACTCATGGCATGATCAGATGCTCATCCTCTGCATGTATGCATATATCAACATCGGTTATTTGCATACTGATTAACGCTGCAGTCAGCAATGTTCCATACATATTCCATAAATAATGGAAACTGGACCAGACAAATCAGTGATTGATATTATGAGCAAGGTCCAACAGAAAGCCTGATCACAGACCCCGACAGCAGTATCTCCTACATATGAGACCAGCAAATATGAAAACAGATGTGGACCATTTCGAAGTCAATTATATATTTGTTATAATATTTCCCGAAAAAACTAGAAACATTAACTTGAGTTCGAACCCACCATCATAAGTTTCTGGCACTCTTTATGTACGCAAATCTTCACAGCGTATTGCGGCGCCTTAGACGACTGGGCCAACCGTGTCCTATTGTCCTATGGTGTTTGATAAGTACGTCTAGAGTAATAAAAGACACAACGGATAATTTATATATTACGTTAAATAAGGATGTTCTGAGCGTCCTGGTGGGGATAATTCTGGTTGTTTGGAGCCTCTCCCGACATTCTTAAGAGTGTGAGCTAACGCAGTATCCTTATCAGGAGTTGAGTAGTATTGTTAAGACTCACGCATTTGAGTGAATTTAGGATTCCTTTCGTCCTCGTTTTGGTGGAGAAGTGAAGAAACGATTAAAGTCTTCTCATTCAGTGTCTCAACACAAACTCCTGCTGTTTAAACTGTGCAATACCTATAGCAATATTGTGCAAATAATAAATCTTCGAACGTCCGCACGCCCTCATGTTTACGTTTGCTACTTTTAATTGAAATGAAAAGTCGTGTGCTAACATCTCCAAACATCCAGTCAGATATATCCCTCCACCTGAACACTCAGATTATCCCTGATATACGAATAGTAAGATTAATCTTCTGTGATTATTCAGACCCAAAATATCGGAACCCTGTTATTCCGGAAACCGTATTTTAGGAACAAATACTGCTAGAAATGGTTTTATTATAAAGGAGATTCCTGCCAAATTCACTGGGAACGATATTCACCTTGAAGGTAGCTCACATCAGCTTCTTTGACGCTTAGTCTCAAGTCATCGATTATTTATGGGAATAATCACTCTTTCACGTAATAAGGAGTTATGTTAAACTGCCTATCTCTGTCTTAAAATACTAAGGTAAAACAATATCTTAATGCCTGATGACGCTTTCACATTGAAGGTATCTCACTACCGTTTCTCCATCGCCTGGTCCCGAGTTCTTCCCAATGGCACACTCTCTGGAGGGAGGAACCAAGAAGGCATCGATTATTACCACAACCTCATCGCTGAACTGCGCAAGAACGACATCAAACCCATGGTGACCCTCTACCACTGGGACCTGCCACAAGCGCTGGAAGACCTGGGAGGCTGGCTGAATGAAGACATTGTCCATTGGTTTACCGACTACGCTGACTTATGTTTCAAGGAATATGGAAATAACGTAGGTGGAACTACAGTACTTGATGTTTGGGAACCTTTATTGCAAAGCAGAACCATTGCTTCATTGTACACATGCTTTATTTGATAAAGACACTCTTGGGTAGAATTGGCACCATGCTTAAACGATTCCGTTGGTTTGATCTAAACAAAAACCGTTTGCATGAAAGGAAAATAGCCTTATGATGACCGTTTGTTTGATAGGCTGGTCAATTGTTTCGCCTGTGGCAAACTATTCCTTTTGACACATATATTTAAATATGAAGCGTTGACGCAAGCGAACAAACATCTCAATTATCCCCCGAAACAGATTCCATTGGGCGTAAAAGTGAAAATAGCGGTGAAAGGTATATGAATGGATCAATGTCCGCTGCATTCTGTGACCGACCATTTAATATTCCGTGGTTTTTGTTGGAGGCAGAATATTTGTCAGTCGGTTCGTTAAAACATGCACTTTGGGGGATCTCACAACACATTATTTTCAAGAAAAAACAAAACAGAATGTCCATTGAACGATTTATTGTTTTGGTGATGTTGGTTTTATAGAAAGGCATATGTATCGTGATTGTGTTTCATTTGTGTGTTCTCAACTTCCAAGGTCTCCTTGTGGATCACTTTTAACGAGCCTCCTATCATCGCCATAACTGGTTATGGGGAGGGAACGTTTGCTCCTCAAAAACACAACCTGACGCAGAACCAATACATCGTAGCCAGGAACCTTGTGTTAGCCCACGCGGAAACGTTTCACCTGTACAACAACACGTACATTGCATCACAAAAAGGTAAGAAGGACAGTATAATATGTAACATATATATTTGAAATGTTAAAACTGTCAAATTAATTGTCCTCACTTTACCGATATCTTTACAATAGAATTTATCTTCATAATAGGCCGTTATAGTTTAACTCGTGAAACGTCTAGCCATCAGACACATGTGTAGCCTGTGATTCAGAGAATAGCCAACGAGCTCCAAGAAATTCCGGATTATCGCGAGGGAATGCATGGTGTTAATCGCGCCTCTTAGGCGGGGGACTTACAGCATTCATTCACGAGGGACAGATAATCCTCGAATAGGTTACCCTATTACTCGTTAACATTTCAAGAGAAGAAACAACGTGTGAATGGCAACCCTACAGACAAAAAATGACTGAAGGCTCCATTTTGTTCAGATGGCGTCATGCAAACGATGTAAGACGTCATAAGTAATTGCTGACGTCATATCGTATTTTTTCAAAATTGCAGCATTGTGATACCATTGAAGCACTTTGCATTAGTTCAATAAAAGGAAAGTAACTAGTATTGCCACTGTCATAGTTCGTATATTCCACGTTTAAGGAAAGGTCGGGATAACCATCAACTACGGCTGGAGCGAACCCAGGGACCCTCTGGACACCACAGATGTAGACGCTGCGGAAAGGTCAATAGAGTTCTATGGCGGGATGTTTGGCCATCCTATATATGTGGACGGGGACTTCCCTCCTGTGATGAAGGAAAAGGTTGCTCAGAAAAACAGGGAATCGGGCTGGCCTGAGGTCAGGTTACCTCCATTTTCTGACTCGGAAAAGAAACGAATAAAGGGTAAAATCATGTAATTAATAGTGGTAACTAAGGTCATATTTGTTTACGTACGTTTGAATGAAGGCGTTTGTTTGCATTTAGAAATGTTTCCTTTTTAGCGTATTTTTTGTCCTCGTGATCCGTGCGTTCTTTTCTTATATTTTGTAGATAACCGCAATGCACGATATTATCAGTCCCTAGCTACTTGTAACATACACTACTCAAAAGAAGTTAAGGACCACCCGATGATTTCACATTACCACAGTTAATCTAGATCTGTTATGTCAGATAACTTTAGTAATATGATATCTGTTTGTTTGTCCTATAACGCCGCACTCAGCAATATTCCAGCTATATGACGGCGGTCTGTAAATAATCGAGTCAGGACCAGACAATCCAGTGATTGACAGCATGAGCATCGATCCACGCAGATGGGATCGATGCCATGCATCAACCAAGTCAGCGAGCCTGACCACCCGATCCCGTTAGTCGCCTTTTACGACAAGCATAGTCGACTTTTACGGCAAGTATGGGTTGCTGAAGACCTATTCTACCCCTGATCTTCACGGGCCTAGTAATATGAAAGAATCTTGTGGTCCTTAACTACTAATTGAGTAATGTATGTTCATGTATCATTGAACCATTATGTCATTGAATCATTGATCATGTAAATCAATAGACATAGTGATTTTGTTCTACGACAACAGAACCACCCTTTTGGGTGAAAAACAAAAACCGCTATTCATTTTATAGCCCCAAATGTTATCAGTGAGTAAGTGAGTGAATGCGAGAGAGGGTTGGGTTTCACACCTTAAATCCATGTTGGGAGTCGAACCCAGACCTTCGAGTTGGACGAGCGACCGTCTAACCGCCTCTCCTTAGCTGTTTTTAAGCCTTGTTGGCAAAATTTATTCTCCAATTTCATGTAATATAAGCATATAAGTGTCACCTTTTTTACGTCAATGCAGCTTTGTGTTCTGTGTCTACAGGAACACACCACTTTCTTGGCCTCAATTTCTACAGCGCTAGTCTGGCCCGAAACGACCCCCAACCTGTCGGCGACACACCCTCCTATTACAATGATCAGGAAGTCAATACCTATAAGGATCCAAACTGGCTTGGGTATGTGATCCTGGTACATGTGTCATTGTCTGTTATTTTATGGGTGTAACAATGCGTGTTTACATGGTTAACCTTAAAATAATACCGTAATGTGTTTTTAATACTGTTTGATATATACTGACGTCTAGAAAGTATGATAATTTGCAAAAGACACAATCAATATCCATAAAATATAAAAAAATATTCACATAAAATGTTTTAAAATCAGAAAATCCTTACAATTCAAGTTCATGTAAAAATAATTGTTTAGTTTCCTCAAATGGTCATTTGGAAAGGCACCAACCAGTATCCATCAGCTATAGAACCATTCATTCACGAAAAAGTTTTTAAATCAGAATCTTACAATTTTAAGAGCAAAATATTTATTATTTCCTGTCAGATCTGGATCCGGATGGCTCAAAGTAACACCCTGGGGAATAAGGAAAATGCTGAACTGGATCAAGTACAACTACAACAATGTGGACGTCTACGTCACGGAAAACGGCGTTTCTGATCGGAATGGGACCCTGAAGGACAATTACAGAGTTCGTTTCTATCGTTATTACATCAACGAAGTGTTAAAAGGTAATACTTGGCCCACGGTGCTCACCTTAGATTGGACGATGTCATGATTTACAGGACATTACAATCGTCCTACAATAATCACAGATTAGATTATCGGCTGATCAGCGGCGACTATCGCTGATCAGACTGTGATTTGAAAGGTTGCGTGCCATCGAAAACCGATGGCGTCGGGAGTGACTCATTATATTACGGGTTGGTTCATCATCTTCAGACCGTCGTCTGAGTATCGTTGAGAGCACAACAGACTACTAATTGGCCATATGTACTTGGTTGTCAGATTAGAATATATGTTTGCATTGATGATATCACTATCGTTAGTCCGCTGCAGCAGCCCGGGAATTCTTCCCCGGCAACCTAGAGTTGTATAGGGCAACTAAAGGAATCGAGTGATCAGGCTCGCTGTCAAACAAACACATCGTTCAAAGTTTAAAAAAAAATCTATCTGGAATAGTGAGTGAATGAGGGAGTGAGTTGGGTTTAACGCCGCTTTTAACAGTATTCCAGTTATATCGCGGCGTGTCAGCTTAATGTGGGAGGAAAGCCCCCAGTGATGCAGGTCTCAGAAGTTTATCACTTCGGTGAAACCCACGAGCACGGATATGGTGCTGACAAACCTAGAAACATAATCGGGGCGAACCGGTATTCGAAACCACAATCATAGGTTTCTGGCGTGCCCAAGGGACGCAACTCTGCACAGCGAATCGCGGCGCCTTAGACGTCTGAGTCGCCCGTGTCCCAACTGAAGAAGGAACCATTGAAGATCCGGGTTAGAATAGCTCTTCAGCAACCCATGCTTACCGTAAGAGGCGACTAACGGGATCGAATGGTCAGGCTCGTGCCCCCTGTCTGGAATAAGAAATGTCGTGTAATGTATATTCACAATTATAATTCTGCCTTTCCATACTTCATCTTCCCGTTGGAAATGCTTGTTGTTCGAGGCGACTTACTGGATCGGTTGCTGGAATATTGCTAAAAGCGGCGTAAAACCATACTCACTCACTTACTGGATCGGGCGGTCAATAACTACTGGACTGTCTGGTTCAGACTTGATTATTTCCATGCCGCCGTCATAAAGCTGGAATATCGCTGAGGGCGGCGTCAAAGAATATACAACTAAATACATTCAATAATTCTCATGAAATCTCTTTTTATCCTGGACAGTTCAGATAGGACACAACACCGTAACATTGGTACTGCGCAATCTGAATTCAAGATGTTTCTATAGTTTCGCTGTTCTCCAAATGAGTTCAAACTCCAAACGTGTCGATGATATAAAAATTTATATTTTATGTCATGTCAGATTTAACAATTCAAAATTTATAATAATTTGCAGCCATAAAGTTGGATAAATGCAATGTGAAGGGCTACACGGCGTGGTCCTTAATGGACAATTTCGAATGGCTGACTGGATACAGTGAGAAGTTTGGTATGCATTACGTCAACTTCAGTGATCCTATGTTACCACGCATCCCCAAGGCGTCGGCCAAGTGGTACGCTGGGCTGGTTCAAGATAAAGGATACAAGCCCGGGTACTCGAGGCCCGGGGGTAGGGGATCTGCCGTGCAGGGGGAAGGGGAGTTTCACTACGGGACCTTCCCCAAGGGCTTTGTGTGGAGCGCCGCATCATCTTCTTTCCAGGTTGAAGGTGCTGTCAAGGAGGATGGTAAGTGGTATCGTTCATTTCTGGTTATTCTGTTCATGTCCTGAATACAGCAGGCATAATATATGTTAATTGACTGTGATGGTAAACTTAACGATATACTGGTTAATTGTACATAATGTACACGTAAATAATTAGGAGAATTTTCTTTTCAATTGACAATATAGGTGTAGAGCGGTATCGATGTTAACTTTGAGATGTTAGTGCGATCATTCGATAGTGCGATCCGCTGTTGTCTGTGTACTGCTTTATGTACGTGTGGCGAATGCATTACAAAGTATGGAAATATTTGTCCTGTATCAGGACGAGGAGAAAGCATCTGGGACAACTTCCAAGTGCTTCATAACGACTCCGGCAGCGTGACCTGTGACAGCTACCACAAATACCCTGAGGACGTCAGACTTCTTAAAAACCTGGGGGTAAGGCGTGTTTAAGAAGATTCCAATTCAGCTGTTATCATCATCGTTAAGTTTAATAAGTACAAACCTTTACAAACAAGCCTTACAATATCAGTATTGGAAATTACGTTTAGTTGTTTGAACTCTGCTTTGAACAGCATCTCAGTTATTTCAAAGCGTGTCAGCTTGATGTTCCGGGGACGTCCAAAGTGAAATCGAACCCACAATCTCTTGACTGTGACTAGTCACTTCCCACTCGAAACTAAACATGTTTTTGTTTTAATCTGTATATAATCTGAAATAACTAATTCAGTTTGTCATGTTAACTATACGTATCTTACCTTACTTATGACATACCTGAATCTTATTGGTCAATGATGTATTGATAAATTTCCATACATCCAGCTTAGGGGTTGTAAAACGGGAATAAAATATAACGGCGTTTCGCCTCGCGATAAGCACAGCCAATAATATGTATTTACTAAAATGAATTGATAACATTTAGGTTTTGCTGATGACATGAAGCTGCGCATTGGCATTGGCTATGAACAGTGATCGATGGAAACGTATTTTGTGGACATCAAATAACCGTTTACAATTCCAAGTTTACGTACGCTATTTCTAACATCCACATATATAATCCTTTCAATACAATTTGTTCTTTGTTCTGTGGACAAGCATGTTTAGCACAATATTTCAATGTAAAGTATCTTCACAGGTCAATCACTACCGTTTTTCCATCGCGTGGCCAAGAATATTTCCAGATGGCACCAAAGCTTCTAAAAACCAAGCCGGTATCCAGTACTACCATCGACTCCTCGACGCTCTCCTTGCTGCGGGTATTGAACCAATGGCCACCTTGTACCACTGGGACCTTCCGAAGGCTCTCCAGGATAAAGGAGGGTGGACTAATGCGTCCATAATAGGGCACTTCAGAGACTACGCCGATGTGTGCTTCAGTGAATATGGGAATAAGGTGAGGCAAATGCGGATGTTTTTGCTTGGTTTGTTTGTTTGTTGTTTAACACCGCACTCAACAATATTCCAGTTAAATGACGGCGGTCTGTAAATAATCCTGTGATGAATGAAAAGGTTGCTAGGAAAATCCATGAATCGGGCTGGCCCGAGGACAGGTTACCTACCTTTTCTGAGTCGGAAAAGATACGAATAAAAGGTAAAATCATGTAATTAATGGTGGTAACTAAGGTCATATTTGTCATGACGGCGGTCTGTAAATAATCGAGTCTTGACCAGACAATCCAGTGATTGACATCATGATCATCGATCCACGCAATTGGGATACGATGACATGCATCAACCAAGTCAGCGAGTCTGACCACCCGATCCCGTTAATCGCCTATTCCGACATCGATCCCGTTAGTCGCCTCTTACGGCAAGCATGGGTTGCTGAAGACCTATTCTACCCCGGATCTTCCCGGGTTGTTTTTGCTTGGTAGCAGTACTGTTTAATGACCTTGCCACATAGATTCAGCAAACAATATGACACAAAAAATACATAAATATGTGACGTCAACGCCAGAGAACAGCTATAGTCAGTTTAACAATTCATAATCATTTGTATTTCATAAATTATTAACTTCATTGCCAAAGTAAGATGAAGTAAATACGTTGATGGGTCATTTGTTATGTGTTATGCAAGGACAGATTTTAAGAGTTCTGTTGTGGTACCTTTGTATTCAACCTGGTTAATTTCGAGCAATAGTTTAATGAATAAGGAAATATAATTCACGGCTTTACCAGCAGTTCAAAATGTGTAGCAATTCCTGGACTATCAAGCAAGGTATCAAGATGTGTTATTTTGGCATTCGGAAGTACTAGGTCAATGTGGACGAACTACTTATTTATTCTTTTATTTCGGTCATAATATCTTTAGAAATCATCGCTAAGTATAGTAATTTGTGTAAATTGGTAGGTAAACCGTTGTTTTCATTTACAGGTGAAACTGTGGATTACATTCAATGAGCCTTGGGTGTTCTTAGTGAAGGGTCTAGGGACAGGTGACCACGCCCCTGGACACACCAGCCGAGGGCTGGAGCCCTACTTAGGGGGACACAATGTTCTGTTGTCCCATGCCGAGGCCTATCATCTGTACAATGATACTTACAGGGAGACGCAAAACGGTATGCAATGCATGATATATATGATACAATTTAAGTTAAAACTATTTCTTGAGTTGGTTGAGGTAACTGTGATGAAGCTTTTTCAGTTACACGATGTCTTTTGTCCTGATTGATAAATCATACAATAAATATTAATCATAACAAATAATATATGTTTAATGTTGAGGAAAGAAAGATTAAGAAAATACTTCCCTCATGAACATATTGCATATGATGTTTATATCGCGATCAAGTTTTTTGGTATTGGGCGCAGTTTACAATTAAGAAGTTTATTTAATGTTAATTTTATTATATAAAGCAGCAATTATTATCTGAATCGCGATACATGCATCTTGTTGAGGGGCAAAATTAGTTAACTCATGATTTTACGGTTTTCAAAAAATGTTTACAAAATTTAATAATTCACTTCAAGGCCAGATAAGCCTCACCCTGAACATAGACTGGGCAGAACCCAAGGATCCCATGAAGCCCTCCGACATTGAAGCATCAGAATGGGCTGTTCAGATGTTCCTTGGATGGTTCGCTCATCCTGTTTACGTCAACGGGGACTACCCAGAAGTGATGAAAAACAGAATCGCATCCGTTAGTAGAGCACAGGGACTTAATGAATCCAGACTACCAGAATTCACAGAGGAACAGAAGAATCGAACTGCAGGTATGAATACTGACGAAGAGAATGTCAACTTTATTATTTTGAGGAACACAATGTTTTGGAGTATATACTTACTCCTTCATCAGGTAAATAAATGCTATGAGACAGAGAACATATATAAGTACCCCTAAGAACAATAAAAGTAATAAGATAATAAAAAGTGGAAACTTAACAAGGGAAGCCAACAGAAAATTGGAGCTGATAGGTGATTAGCAATGAACAAACGGAAGCAAACACTTCGCAGTAAATTAGCGTTGATGGTTGATAGCGATAGACAACTGGAAACTAGGACTTAAATTATCACTGATTGGTAATGGGCAATGGACAATGGGCGAACGGGAGTCCGGGGGTAATTGGCACTGATAGGTAAGAAAATAGAAATAGCAATGGACAAATAGAAGCTAGCTAAGCTAGTTAAAAGGATCGACAATGATCAAAGCAAAATATCAAAAGAAATGGACAGATAGGTTCCCTCCCTCGTCACAGTCATGGGTGGCTGGTGTCCTGATGTCACAGCAGGGCATGAACGAATTTGAACGAAAATTCACTATCCTGCAGTAAATTCAACCAATGAGATTCCGCTCATTTTGCCTATATTATTCGTTTCATCTTATTCAAGGAACACATGATTTCTTCGGTATGAACCACTACACCACAATGTATGTATACAAGCAAGATGAAGAATTGGCTGGACGTGGCAAACCCGATTACTTCAACGATCGTGGCATAAAAGATGAACCTGATCCTAAATGGCTAAAGTGAGTAATACTTACGGCCTTTAGCCTCTAATGTAAATGCTAAATGGAATTCACTTCCTGTAGATTGATCTTTATCACTTTCTACACTCAATCAGTTCCAGAAACAGATGAAGACATGCCTCTACCACAGCCTTTGAAATACATATGTTGATTTTTGTAAGCACTTGAGCAAACTTACATATTATTTATACTGGAGTTATTTATGATTCATCACCATCATGTACGTCAAATGTAAATAGAATGACGAGTCGGGTTTCTCAATGTATCCAATGCATGTTTGAAGGTCCGGGTCCTCGTGGCTATATGTGGTTCCCTGGGGGGTGAGGAAGATTCTCAACTGGGTCAGAAACAACTACGGCGAGGTCCCGATCTACATCACTGAGAATGGTCTGTCTGACAACAACGGTACACTCAATGACCAGCACAGGATTCTCTTCTACAGGTACTACATCAACGAAGTACTTAAAGGTAGGTGTGCACAAAACATCTAATATCACTTAAAGACAACATTCGGACCCGTGAAGACTCCATTTTGAATAGGTCTTCAGCAACCAGTGCTTGTCCTAAGAGGCGATTATGCTTAGCGTAAGAGGCTGGGTCGGGTGGTCAGGTTGATGCATGTCATCGTATCCCAATTACGTGGATCGACGCTCATGATGTCAATCACTGGATTGTCTGATCCAGACTCGATTATATGCAGACCGCGTCATATAGCTAGAGTATTGCTGAGTGCGGCGTTAAACAAACAAACAAACAAACAAACAACAACACTCTGGCAACGGTCGGTGTGACCTATGATTAACAACATCGGTTTTCTTAAACGTGTATTATACATGGATCAACTATGGGTAGTTCACGTATGAAGTGTAAATGAGCGAAATGCCAACATTAATTCGCGAAAGGGATTATTATCTATCTTTCACGACCCCATTACTGATCACGTCGGAACGACCTTTCACCCGTCGAATAAGAGCGTCGCTTATCAGATCTGGAAAGTAAACGTTGTAACTTTGGCAAAATATTTTGGAATGGAATGGACGTCGCGATCGCCAGTTTGAAACTAGGAACGTAAAGCTCGCGAAAGTTGCTCTCTGATTGTTTAATCTCGACTTCTTGTTTGTCAAAGTCAGTTAGCAAAGGTCGTTTTGACGTGGCCCCTTATGGGATATCCTGAGATATATGTGTAAAGTTAGCGAGTACTAAGATCTGATTTTAGCGAGATTCATATGCAAAAAAATCAGAATACTGCGAAAATACCGCTCATGTTCGTTAATATCCTATATTTCTTTTTTGGGGGGAGGAGGGATGGTGGCTTCGAATCCAGGTTCGCCCCGATTATGTTTCTAGGTTTGTCAGCACCATACCCGTACTCTTGGGTTTCACCGAAGTGGTAAACGTCTGAGACCTGCATCACTTCGGGCTTTCCTCCCACATTAAGCTGACACGCCGTGATATAACTGGAGTAATGTTAAAAGTGGCGTTAAACACAACTCGCTCATTCACTTTTTGGTGGGACGAGCATACTATCTCAGTATAACATGCGGCCCAGTCGTCTCAGGAGCCGCAATTTGCTGTTCCGAGTTTCGGTCCTCAGTTATAAACCTTAGATCACGGGTATGAATCAAGGTTCGCCCTGATTATGGTTCTAGGTCTGCCAGCACCAGTATCACTTCGGGCTTTCCTCCCACATCAAGTTGACGCCGTGAATTAACTGAAATACTTTTCAAAGCGGCGTTAACGCCAACTTACTTTCTCACACACTCTCAGTAATAATTTAGTTTTTTATATAAATATAAATTAAAAATGAATATAAATTATTTGATCGATGTACAGTATAGGTAATTTTTATGATTTCACCATATTGTATTTTGTGTGCTGTACCATTTTGCTTCGTTTGTATTTATTGCTGTACTGATATTTACCAAACACAATCTGTCCACAGCCATTGACTATGACAAGGTGAACGTTAAGGGTTACACGGCATGGGCACTACTGGACAACTTCGAGTGGGATCGTGGCTACTCGGAAAAATTCGGTACTCATCGTGTTGACTTCAATAGTCCAGACAGGACAAGAACTCCGAAGGCATCCGCAGCCTTTCTACGACACGTACGTACAGGATACCGTGAGCCTACTAGATTACATGTCTCACCATTCTTAAATAATTTCCAACAACAATACCTTATCATTATTCTGAGGAACACAACGCTTCGGAGTATATACGTATTCCTTCATCAGATGAATAAATGCTATGAGTACACATATATGTACCTGTAAGAACAACAACAACAACAACAACAACAACAACAACAACAGTAATAAGATAACACAGGCGGGAATTTGACAAGGGAAGCAAACATATAATTGGCGCCGACAGGTGATTAGCAATGGGCAAATAGAAGCCAACACTAACAGTTGATTAGCGCTGATAGTTGACAGCGATGGACAATTGGAAGCCAGGCCTGACCTTATCACTGATTGGTAAAGGGCAATGGGCAACCGGGAGGCTGGGTGTAATTAGCACTGATAGAATGGAAATGACAATGGACAAGTTGAAGCCAAGCTAGATAGTTAGTTAGCACCGGCAGTTAGTGTTCCTCATAATAAAGAAGTTGACATCCACAGATTCTCTTCCTTATATGTATCACTTCTAAATGCCTTTCAAAGACTCAACAATACCTCATATTTGAAATCAGAATATGAGTCATTGTTGACACCGTTGCGAGTCTGGATTAGTCCCCAGCAACACATGCTTAGAAGAACGACAACGGTGGCTCAGTCTTGGTGACAGGATCAATTGCGTGTCCATACAGCAGACTAGCTACCACTAAATTGTCTGGTCCAGACACGATTGTTTTCCGGCCATCGTTGTATAGCAGGAGTATTGTTTGGTGCGGCGTTAGGCAATAAACACGTATTGGGGCCTAGTGGTTAAAAGCGTTCGCTCGTCACGCCGAAGACCCGGGTTCGATTGCCGACATGGGGACAATGTGTGAAGCCCATTTCTAGTGTCCCCCGCCGTGATATTGCTGGAATATTGTTAAAAGCGGCGTAATACTCACTCACTCACTCACTCAAACACGTATTGTGTTTCATGCAAATTGTGAGAGTGGCGGTGGCAAACATTTATCGTCTAACTCGTTTTCATCTGATCAAATACAAACATATATTTATAGATCTTTGAAGACAATGGTTTCAAGCCAGGCGCATTAACAGATCCTAAAAGAACACATCTCCCGTTTGAGAATGAAATGCTGTTGGAAGACTTCCCAGAAAGCTTTGAGTGGGGAGCGGCGACAACCGCCTACCAGATAGAAGGGGCGGTTGATACGGAAGGTACATCCCCAAAAGATTAAAACTGCTTATGCATTGCATCTATGTATACGTATCAGTTGCCCTGTTTATCCAATGAAGGTAGATGACAATTACAGGTACAAATATTAAAATGCATGTGTATCGTCTTACCGAAAAGCTGTGTTACTTCAGTGGCCTAATCATGTAATGTTTGTGTCTGATTGAAATGCAAGAAGCTTATTTCACGTTGTCGTAAATTCCATTGGAACTTTCTTACTGGTTTCAGATGTATCAGCCTAACATTTAACACTAACTGATTATAGTTTGCAAATATTATTGAGCGATATACAATTATATTTTATGTTCCTAACTAACCAAAACTATACACTGTTTGTGTGGACATTTGGTATGTCATGTTAGTTAAAATGTCAACAATGTCCTCGTGGTATTCACAGGACGAGGACCAAGCACCTGGGACGTGTTCTTGAAGACTCCCGGGAGGACCCCGTTTAACCAGACAGGAGATAAGGCAGCCATGTCTTTCACACACTATATCCAAGATGTTGGTGCTCTCAAAGCAATGGGGGTGAGAGGACACTTAAACCTTCAACTTAACAAGGCGGCACAGCTCGCCTGGGGTCCGTTTCACAAAGCGAGCGTAGTACTACGCCTGTCGTCAGTCTATGTTAAAGTATGGGAATTAGCGCCACGATAGTCGTAACTACGTTCCCTTTGTGAAACGGGGCCTTGGCCCATACTCGAATATTTACAGTCGGTGTAATCATGATATAGTTTGAATACTGCTGGCCGTGGCATATAACAAGATTCTCCATTTAGGACTTCCATATTCTTTTGAAAAAATCAAACTCAACGAGCAGTGGGGATAGGTTTCCGATATTGCTGACTATGCTTTATACATGCAACTGGTCTGTCAGTCGCGCATCACTCGTCTTTCTCTGTAGCCTTTGATCCGTGCATTGTATTCCCCATTCTTTTATTCTTTATTTGTACTATAACGCATAAGTGTTAATTTTGAAGGGGTCGCCCCAGCCAAGTGGGTCCCTCCCATTTCATGGTAAAATAATCTATCAATCACTTCTTACACGACCATGGCCGTACGGTAGCCAAGGGGTTGAAGCTTTCACTTGTAGCGCCACAATCCGGATTCGATTCTTCACATGGGTTCATGTCTGGTGTCCCCCGCCATGATATTGCTGGAACGTTTAAAAAAGTGGCATAAACCCCAACTCACTTACTTTCACAACTCACTGTTGATTCATTTGACATCGTAGGTGAAGACATACTACTTTTCACTCTCGTGGTCAAGGATCTTACCGAAGGGAACGTCGGATGAAGTAAACCAAGATGGCATCAATTATTACAACGAGCTGCTCTTGGCTCTGGCTGATGCTGAGATTGAACCAATCGTGTCCCTTCACCAGTGGGACTCCCCGGCTGCTATTACAAACGGCTGGCTGGATAACGACATCGTGGAAGCCTTCGGGAACTACTCCAGGATATGCTTTCAAAACTTCGGAGATAAGGTAATTTTGATCCTGTATTTTATAATTCCGTCATTCATGAAGCGTGTTCCTCATATAAAGTGTGGGTGTGATACATTCATTTACATATTATCCATAATGCTACAAGGAGAGCCATATGTAACACAACGTATATCATATGAAGGGGCGGTATGGTAGCCTCGTGATTAAAGTGTTTGCTTGTCACCTCTAAGGCCCGGCTCGATTCCCATATGGGTACAGTTTGTGAAGCCCAGATTGGGTGTCCACCGCCGTGATATTGATGGAGTATTGCTAAAACGGTATACCATTACCAATGAAGTCAATTTTTTAAAATGAAGTCTAAATAAGAAAAATGGGCTTAACTTTTGTCGTGTCCTTCTTTATAATCTCAGGATTTGCCTCTGAATGACATTAATACATTATCATCCATGGAAGTTTATGTTTCTGACTGCATTAAATAGCAAATTCAATTTCAATACCAAGTAATTCTATTTTCTTTTTGGGCGGTCGGGTAGCCTTGTGGTAAAGGGTTAGCTCGTCTCGCCGAAGACCCGGGCTTGATTCCCGACATGGGTACATACAATGTGTGAAGCCCATTTCCGGTGTCCCCAGCCGTGATATTGCTGGAAAATTGCTAAAAGAGGCTTTATGCCAAACTCACTCACTCAATCACACAATCTTTTGATTTTGACGTCGTTCTGAATGACACTGTTGAGGTTCTGTTTTAGGTTAAAACATGGATTACCCAAAATGAACCTAATGTCTTAGCTCTGATGGGATACGAGTTGGGTCAACATGCCCCGGGGGTTAGAGGCCAAGGCTACAAAGCCGCGCACAACATGATCAAGGCACACGCAGCAGCATACCGAATCTACCAGAAGGAATTTAAGGACAGTCAAAAAGGTAAAGCAATCGATTAATTTACAATATTCGTGCAACATGGTTATTTTGCCACATAATCTGAAGTGCAATGACCCACGAGTTATTGTGTCAGCATTATCACATCAACATGATAGCATTATCATAAGTATATATCATGAAGATAACATGAAATGTCAACGCCAGAGAATAACCAGTCTCGATTATCCGCCGAAGCAGATTTTATTGGGCGTAAAAGGCAAAAGATCGGTGAAAAGTATATGAATGGATCACTGAAAAAAAGTGATTACAAAAGGTGTTCGCGGAAAGTGTCGGACGTCCCAAAAACCTAACAGGACGATGGTTTTAAGTCTGTTCAAAACTGTCCTAATTTTTCAGAACAGGGTCACTATTTCAGCATACCAACCATTAGCCAGTTTGCGAACCTCGAGGGACTATTTTCAGTAGATTCATGCATCTATTTTGCAATCACGAAAACACATATTCTTAATGTTGAATATGAACATAACCCTGTGGACACGAACACAGGCGAACCACTTTTCGATGTTTTCGAATTAAAATGAGATATGTATTTTGAATCTGTTTCTTGGTCCAATGTAAGAAGGCGAGCAAATGAATTTGGAGTCATTCCACACAGTGCTCAATATGCCCCTTTCAAAGTTATAATCCAATATCGGGCACGGGTGGCCCAGTCGTCATAGGCGCCGCGATTCGCTGTGCAGAGTTGCGTCACTTGGGCACGCCAGAAACCTATGATTGTGGGTTCGAATCCAGGTTCGCCCCGATTATGTTTCTAGGTTTGTCAGCACCATACCCGTGCTCGTGGGATTCACCGAAGTGGTAAGCGTCTGAGACCTGCATCACTTCGGGCTTTCCTCCCACATTAAGCTGACACGCCGTGATATAACTGGAATACTGTTAAAAGCGGCGTTAAACCAAACTCACTCACTCACTATAATCCAATATCAGAATAATTCAAAGCGACAAAACACTTTCCATGTTCGTTAGAAATCTCATAAGAGATTGTGTGTGGAAAGTGTTTTTTTGCTTTTATAAGAAGGGGAAATTGTAATCTAAATGCGGATGAAATAATGTTTGTTATTGGTTTTAGACTCATAACAATTCACAACTTACAAAAATGCACGTCGATATTTGACTGCGAAATTGGTCCACAAATGTATTTTCAAATATGATGGCGTGGCCATATTGAATACAAAACTTTGTCGTATATCGTTTTCCAATAGAAATCTCTCCTTAAAGCAGAGTCGATTGTACAATTCCGACTATATCATGAGCATGTGTTAATGAACAGCTAACAAATAGTGATGAAACCAGGTGTTCGCGAAGTTGTTTTGAGTTTCAATATGGTGTTTTAACGACTTGGACTGCATTTGCTAGGACTTCTGCATGTCCCTATTTAATTCAAAGTTCATAGCGGTTACACTGGCAAACGGGTAGGTGTATGCTACTCATGTGTACCTTGTGATCACTGTTGTGATCTTCCTTTTCTTTTCTGGGGCGGTCGGGTAGCCTAGTGCTCGTCACGCCGAAGACCCGGGTTCGATTCCCGACATGGGTACAATGTGTGAAGCCCATTTCTGGTGTCTCCCGCCGTGATATTGCTGGCATATTGCTTAAAGCGGCGTAAAAACATGCTCACTCTCTCCTCTTCTTTTCTTTTCCTTTTTAAACTGGCACGATGTCCGGTAGTACATCTGGCTCGCTCCACGTCTCATGTGAATGATACGTCATTGGTTAATCATTGCTGGGGGTTGTTGCTTGTTTCCAGGAAGAGTGGGACTTTCAGTGCATTCTTCTTGGTCTCTGCCGATGTCGGAAAGAGACCCTGGTGATCGGGCCGCTCAAGACCGGAAGTTTGCCTTCGACTTTGATTGGTTCGTTGTCCCAGTGCTCCTGGACGGAGAGTACCCGGATGTCATGAGGAGAGAGGTGTCTCTCAGAAGCAGAGAACAGAATCTCACCCAGTCCCGTCTCCCGGTGTTTACAGACGTAGAGAGGAACATGATCAGAGGTGAGGGGACACACATTACAATATGAGGTGGTGAGGTGAGGTGAAATGGGGTTTAACGTCGCGTCCACGATTATTGAACTTACATAGCGACGTGCATGCTCGTGTGTGTGTGTGTGTGTGTGTGTGTGTGTGTGTGTGTGTGTGTGTGTGTGTGTGTGTGTGTGTGGCTGCTTGTACTAGTCCGGACTGATGCCAATTTATAGCGCTAGCTCACTGAGATACCATGCCGCAGTTTAACATGAATACCCCACTCAGACACAGTATACTGACTCCGAGCCGACCAGATCTTGTTTTAGCCCCTTAATGCCGAGCACGAGACAGGGTTACAACAAGTACCACCTTTTAACGTCTGTTGGTATGACGCGGCCGGGGATCGAACCGCGGACCTTCCGCTCCCGGGCATTACAAAATGATCAACAGAGAACTACTTATATACATGTATCATGTGTATAGTAAACACGTATCAGTCTGACACGAGTCCCACGTGTATATAGTGAACATGTGAACACGTGTATCAGACTGAGAGGAGTATCTCATGTGTATAGTAAACATGTGAACACGTAACAGTCTGAGAGGAGTATCTCATGTGTATAGTAAACATGTGAACACGTAACAGACTGAGATGAATCTAATGTGTATAGTAAACATGTGAACACGTAACAGACTGAGAGGAGTATCTCATGTGTATAGTAAACATGTGAACACGTAACAGACTGAGATGAGTCTAATGTGTATAGTAAACATGTGAACACGTATCAGTCTGAGATGAGTCTAATGTGTATAATAAACATGTGAACACGTAACAGTCTGAGAGGAGTATCTCATGTGTAAGTAAACATGTGAACACGTAACAGACTGAGAGGAGTATCTCGTGTGTATGGTAAACATGTGAACACGTATCAGGCTGAGATGAGTCTCTCGTGTGTATGGTAAACATGTGAACACGTATCAGACTGAGAGGAGTATCTCGTGTGTATGGTAAACATGTGAACACGTATCAGGCTGAGATGCGTCTCTCATGGGCAGAGAACAGAATGATAACCTATCCCTCCTGTCCCTCTTTACAGTAACAGGAACATGATCAGAGGTGAACATGATCAGAACAGAATCCCCCGTTCGTTATCAGCTGTTCTTAATGTCACTATGGCTGCCCTGTTTGTTTTAAAGAACAATCCTGGCTTTTGTTTTCGACCTGGAATCCTTATTCCAAGTTATTCGATGATGTATTTTATATATCTGTGTCAGGTTCGGCTGACTTCCTTGGCATCAGCTACTGGACGTCCAGCCTCGTTCAGGAGCGACGTCGTAACAACGTCACCGCCCCGCCCTCCATCATTGACGACAGGGCTACCACTGGGTAAGTGAACTCATTATTGGTGTACGGGACCCACCATCTACTTTTTTTAGGGGAGAGGCAGAGATTTATGTCAGAGACCGGATATTTTTTTTTGCGTCAAAACCGCATTTGCCTGGGGAAGGTGGAGACAATAATGGTTTTTTGGTTAAAATAAGCGAAAAATAATATTTTGGGGTACTAGAGGACAAATGTTGTTTATTCTGGAACAAATAATCTTTTCAAAATACCCCTCCCCGTCCGTTATATCAACTGGTCTACCCACAATGGGGCCAAAATCACACCTTTTATTCTAGGTGTTTTTATTTATTTTTACCTTTACCCAAATTTAGCACCATCGTCGTTAATCGCGACTGATATCGTGTAGCAAACTATATATACATAACGTTTTATTTAGCTAACATAAATAAGGTGTAGTTTTTACGCGAATTCATATTTCAGCACCAGTCTCCCATCTATTCACGTGTATCCCAAGGGAATCAGGATGGTACTGAGAAGGGTCAAACAGCGGTATGGTAACATCCCCGTTTATGTTACCGGTAATGGCGTGAGGGACAAGCCAGGTACAACTGATGACGCGGATAGAGTGGAGTACATGAAGTCCCACACCAATGAAGTCCTGAAAGGTAATTGTGTTTACTACTGTTGTCGCTTAGTGTGGCTACACACCACGTACAAAATGTTCATTGCATGTATTACATATAAAAACAAAGTAATTACATCATACATTTACATACCGGACTTATCCAGACATCATTGTTCAAATGTGTACATATATATTTGATTCCCGATCAGTGGTTCCGTATGCACTCCAGTTATTCCCAACTGCTTAGGCAGTATACGGCCCGTGACGATCCGGGGTAGAATACGTCTGCAGCAACCCATGTTTGCCGTAACAGGCGACGATGCTTGTCGTAAAAGGCGACTAACGCGATCGGGTGGTCAGGCTCGCTGACTTGGTTGAAGTATGTCATCGATCCCAATTGCGTGGATCGATGCTCATGTTGTCAATCACTGGATTGTCTGGTCCAGACGCGGTTATTGACAGACCGCCGTCATATAGCTGGAATATTGCTAAGTGCGGCGTTAAACAACAAACAAACAAACAAAAGCTTAGGGAATATATAACCCTTGCTGCCTACAGGCGCTAGATGGTTTTTACATCAAATAGTGGGTACCCATTCCCTGCAGAGTAAACAGAGACAGCTTGCCTAAGGGTGATCACGTTTCCAGCACGTGTCTGCTTAGGTCAAGTTGTGATCATACTACTCACTACTAAAACACTTTAAATATACATTCGTACACAATAAGATAACTACTAGGTTGAAATTACATCTTGGTATAGCTCCGCCCTAATGTCGAGCTTGATATTTATGTATAATATAATTCATATTATTTAGCACTATTAGCCCCATATAATGATACAGTGTAAAAATGTGTTAAGAATGTAAACACATACAAGATATGTTTAGATCTAAACATGTTTAGTGTCTTAATACATGAGTCGAGCTATCCTCTCAGCCTAAACACTACATAAGCACAACATCCCTCTTATCCAAACATGTTAAGATTGTGATGTCTTTGTAAATTGTTGCCCATTTCAGCTATACGACTTGACAGCGTTGACGTCCGTGGCTACATGGCCTACTCCCTCATCGACAGCTTCGAGTGGCGTGACGGATACACTGCTTCATTTGGCCTCTACTACGTCAACTTCAACGATCCCAACCGTGCACGACTTCCTAAATCATCGTCAATGTATTACCGTAACCTCATCAGAGACAACGGATTCTTCAAGCCCACGACGCCAGTGATCATCACCACCCCAAAGCCAAAGGTCATCATCCGGAACGAATGTCCCCCACCAGCATCAACAGCCGCTAGGATGACCTCAACTATTGGCCTGTTGACCAGCATTGTTGTCATGTTGTTCCTGAATAACTGATTCTTGGAAATTTACTATCATGTGTGAAATGTAATGTCAAACACGACTCAGTTCGGAATGGATAATCTCACTACTGTTTCACTGTTTCCAATACCAGACGCAACAACCCCAGAATGATTCATGTATACACAATGAGCACGCTCAGTGAATTCAGCGCAAAATATTATCGATATAAATTTCATACACCAAAGCAACGTCATCTGTAATAACGACTCATTAAGATAACTTCTTTGATAGGCATTTAGACGTTGGAGTACAAGTAAGGATAAGAATTTATGGAGGAACAACTTCTCTATGACAATTAAGAGCGACGTTTTGGTGTAGGTGCTAACACCGTTATCAACACTTGCTCGATAACGGTGTTAGCACCTACACCGAAACGTCGCTCTTAATTGTAATAAAGAAGTTGTTTTTCCATAAATTCTTATCCTTACTTAGACTCATTAAGAATTGTGTAGCCAGCAGAGTTCCAGGAACATAACAAATGTCCTGTATTTGTGACATGCCAGACATAAAGCAAACGTATTTGAAATGTATCTCATACAGAACATTAATTCAAGAATAAACAATAATGTTATTATTGTGAACAATTTATATGATCCATGTAACTCTTCAGGCAATAGGGGCAGTCGGGTAGCCTAGCGTTTGCTCGTCACGCCGAAGACCGGGTTCGATTCCCAACACGGGTACAATGTGTGAAGCCAATTTCTGGTGTCCCCGCGTGATATTGATTGAATATTGCTAAACGCGGCGTCAAATCAAACTTACTCACTCACCCACTCTTCAGGCAATTGTCGATTGCATGACTTGGAATCATAATAACAATTCATTAATGTTTATGTAGAAAATGCTCAATGTCATCATGTGAGCCATATGTTATGAGGTGTTTAATGTTTTGTATTGAGTGTCCTCTTTCAGTATAGGAAGATTATCCTAGCAGCTTCATCATCTCTGAGTTAATATCTTGTACCATTCTCAAAATGGCAAAAATTGTGACTACATGTTGCCCGGCTGACAAAGCTAGCTGTGACATACTTTGCAATAGTATTGCTTGTCGTAAGAGGCGACTAACGGGATCGGGTGACTTGGTTGATGCACTTCACCGTATCCCAATTGCGTAGGTTTATGCTGAGGATGTCAATCACTGAATTGTCTGTTCCAGACTCGATTATGTACAGCCCGCATTCAGCTGGAATATTGCTGAGTGTGGCGTTAGACAACAACACAACAAAGAGGAATATTTCAGATCACATCGATCGATCATCGTTAGTTACACATCAATATGGAAGATGAAGTGATTTTGCAGCCTTCCCTGTATCATATGCAACATCAGTGCAGGTGCATGTACATTGTGAAGCCAGCAAACGGCTGCGATTTCCCAATGCAGTTATGGATATAAATGGAAATTTGGGAATAGGATGCTGTATCAATCCATTAAAACATTGTTTACAGACCGACGTCATATAGCTTGAATATTGCTGAGTGCGGCGTTAAACAACAAACACTAATATTTAGGTCATTGCTAAGTAATACCAAACATTTACAGAAACATGTGTGTTCTGGTCCGGTGATATTTTCAGCTATACATGGTACATAATTTCGAATTGATTATTGTTGTCAAAGGCTAAATGCTTTCAGTTCCATAACGTAAATATGTTCCTTTGTCATCCAAATATCGTTTTGTTTATTTTTAGCAATTGTTATATACGCTTTTGTATGTGTTCAAACAGTATGCAGTTTTCGTTCGTTTGTTGCTATGTTACAGCTTGTAGGTAGGCATACATTCGTGACCAACTCGTGTTAGTCCGGGACAAGCCGAATAGAGACTCGTGCCCCTCTCATGGTCATTTTTGCGACCGGGTTCCGTCTTAGAGCAAACGGGCATGCCTAAAACAATTGTCAACTCGTTGCGTAATGGTTCACATATATTTCCCCATATATTATATATATTTCAGATGCATTTTAAAGCACATTGGGACTTGTGGAATCATAGAGTATGATTGAACACTTTTAACTGTGTCTTGGGTATACTTTTAGATACAAGACATATGTAAAATCAAAACATATTTCTGAGGGATTCTTTGACGAAGAACTTGAAATCATGCGCGTATTCTGATTGGTTTGTCGTATTTTCGCACATCGATAGGGGAACGAGTCTTCTTACAGGTTACGGAAAGGGACGAGCGGTGATATATGGGTATTCATATAGAAGAACAAAACTTTTTCGTACCGGAAATAATCATTTTATTCCAAAGATTCCATATCGATTTATTAATGTACATAATCTTTTTATGTAGCGACATTGTTTTTTTCTGAATAGAGAATCTCACCTGAGTGTCTGTTAACATCAAATATCCACTTATAAGTCGATAAAAGTTTAAACTCCGAGGTTTGCCGGCGAGTATTGACATATCTGTATCAAAATGATACGAGGGTGACATTGTATGTGTCACCCAAAATCATTCTTCCAACTTTTTCAGTTTGTAAACAGTAATAACCAGCGTCTTGAGTGTAAAAAATACATGTCACCAGTTTCAGAGGCAGACAGATCAGTGATGTCATTTGATTGACTTTATGGTAACCAATGATTTTACAATGGTCTGCAAAGTCGTCAGTAATGATTAAATTGGAAGAGTTATTGTTTCATATCTCTCAAACGAAATTTGGAATCCAGTTTCGGGTGATAGATTTCCATGTGAAAAATTATTGTGATTCAGTTGTTACATGTTGTCCTCATCTATACACGAATACACGTATTTCATTATACACGTCTTTGTGTTGATTTCAATGAGTTGTGAAAAACATTATGTCCAATGTAATGCCGTACTTTTGAGCTGTCATCGAGCTCAAGCATGGTCTTTCTACAACGATTTCAAAGAGAATCATACAACTCTTGCTCAAAAGTTATTTGATCAAGGTTACAACGTTCGAGACCACGGCAAAGCTTTCAGAAGGTTTAATGGTAGACATGTGGAGGACATTTTCAAATTTGACGCACTAGTGACAAAGATGTCCGATGCAATTCCTATTTTGACTTGTGCCTAATATTTCCGAGATCGTTCAGGTGAACATTTGACTTTCCTTTGCATGTGTTTGTGACGGCTGCTCAGGCGATAGGATATGTTGTGTAATGGAAGTTAATTTAGGTTTAAAAAATATATATTACGATGGCATTTATTTGTTGAATATCTCGGATACCCGTGATGATTCGGGGTAGAATAGGTCTTCAGCAACCAATGCTTGCCTTGAAGGACGAGGCGACTAACGGGATCGGGTGGTCAGGCTTTGTTAATGCATGTCGTCATCCCAATTGCGTAGATCGATACTCATGATGTCAATCACTGGATTTTCTGGTCCAGACTCCATTATTTACAGACCGCCGCCATATGCTGAGTTCGGCGTTAAACAACAAACAAGCAAACCTAACGTAGCTTGGGAAAAAAGTATTTGAAGTTTTGAAGATATCGTCACCAGAATCACATTCAACTGACATGGTTGCTGGAATGGATGCAATGAAACATTTTCACCTGTTTTATACCCCTCCAATATGCAGGTTCGTGCACACTTACCCATGTTCATAACGTGCATATCGTGCAACCAAGATAGAGGTTGGTTGTTTAGTTTGTTGTTTAACGCCGCACTCAGCAATATTCCAGTTATATGACGGCGGTCTGTAAATGATCGAGTCTGGACCAGACAATCCAGTGATTAATATCATGAGCATCGATCCACGCAATTGGAATCGATGACATGTATCAACCAAGTCAGCGAGCCTGACCACCCGATCCCGTTAGTCGCCTTTAACGACAAGCACAGTCGCCTTTTAAGGCAAGTATGGGTTGCTGAAGACCTATTCTACCCCGGAATCTTCACGGGTCCCAAGATGGAGGACGCCACTATTAATATTGCTGTGTTCGGGTGCATGGATTACGAAACTAGGACGCCAATATGTAAGAGTTCAGGCTTAATCGGAATAAACTTCTCAGACTCGCCAATATTTGCGCGGCTGGTGTGGTCCTCCGACCAACGGCCTCATACCACATCAGCCACACAAGGAGTTTCTTTACTTAAACTGTTCGTGTGTCTCCTTACTTGAGTTAATCTTCATCAGTAGATGACTATGGTCTCGTCAACCAGCGTGAGGCAATACTTTCATTGCTAGGCATGACAAGAAAGATATAAAGTTGTATCAAGACTTGATTTGTTTTGGACGCTTGGCGTTTTGTAAGCATTTGCGTTCATCTAGAAGAATTGAGTAGAATTTGAGATTGCAACATGCTACTTTTAACGTTCCTTTTGTGGAGTTCTTACTTTTCTTTGTGTCTTGCATCAACAAAGGACAAAAGTTATTATTTCGGACAGTTTCCTGCCACTTTTGTTTGGGGAGCAGGAACGTCAGCCGGTCAAATAGAAGGGGCATGGCGGGAGGACGGTAAGTTTTAAATTGTTCATGTTGTCCGCTGTTAAGTGTTCTGAATAGAGTGAAACCCCGTTAGTCATGAAACCCCTCATTCCGGGCGATCTAATAGGGGATGCCAGAAGGTACGCAACTGAAAACGACTCCATACCAGTGATTCGTTAATCCGGACATTCGATAAGCCTAACAATTTCACTGAAACGATACCGTATGGATGAACGAAGTCTCGCTGTACATATAAACGCGTTTAATCGGAAAACATTCCAGGCTATGAGTGTTACTATGTACCAACTATTCGTCAGTCTTGATGTTTTAAACCTACCCAAATCGTCCGGAATAAAAGTGTTTCATAGAAATTATATCAAATACAGTAAACTACGTTTATAACGAACACTCCTATAACGAACTGACCGATATAGCGAACCTATTTTTTAGTCCCGGCCATTGTACATATGCTGTATATATGCTTATTACGAACTACGGTTTTTACGAACTAAAATTAGTGGTCCCTTTGAGATCGTTATAACCGTAGTTTACTGTAGCTGTCGAATCATATGTGATGATAATGTTCTTGTATCAATTCCTGCAAACAGACCCAAAACATGTATTTTTTTATGTTCATAATGGAAAACTAAACAAATGATAATTCAAAATACATATTTTAGAAGACATCTAAATATTAATAGGTCTTTAGGTTCCACGGATGAAAATGAAATAGTTTCACGAAAACGTCAGCTACATCCGCCTGTCAGGGAAGATGTGTGTTGAGTCAATATACTCAGGAGAAGTCAAACATCTTGTGGGTACAGAGCCCACACTGTGCAATATCTACCAGCTGCTTGCTTCTCAGGGATATCTTGGGTGTCATGTGGAGTGCACATGTATAATCAATACGAGTTAATTTTCCAGAAAATGTGTGTAAATACTATCTTAATACCTTATTAATATAAAATACAATAATGCATAGGACGTTCTATATCTAATACTCATCCTGATAATCTACGAAGCTGGCGTGGAAACAAGCTGAACACATCCCAAAATGTTCCAGGAAATGATTAATTAGTTTTAGAAATGAATTGATTGCCTCTAAAATTAACCATACTGCAACATTTGAAGAAAACAACAAAAACTTTAGTTGAAGCTTGTCAAAAAAACATTTTTTTAATATTATCCGTTCATAATGCACGATATGCCAAACATATATACACTATGCCTCATGTGCACATTCAATAATCCTACAACATGATTATATGTAAACGAAGTACAACATAAACGTATGAGGGGTTTTATGTTGTCTAACGCCGCTCTCAGCAATATTCCAGCTATATGACGGCGGTCTGTAAATAATCGAGTCTGGGCCAGACAATCCAGAAATTGACATCATGAGCATCGATCCACGTGATTGGGATACGATGACATGTATCAACCAAGTCAGCGAGCCTGACCACCCGATCCCGTTAGTCGCTTCTTACGACAAGCACAGTCGCCTTTTACGGCATGCATGGGTTGCTGAAGACCTATTCTACCCTGGATCTTCACGGGTCTCATACGGGTCTTCACAAGAAATATAATCTTTCCGGGGCAAGGGAGTTAACTGACATAAAAATCCAATTTCCACCCATGCCCAACTCGGCTGGAATTTCGGAGTTACATTTTGGCTGGACTAACGAGTCTTTGCATTGTCCAATCAAAATCCCTTAACGAACAAGACAACATGGATTTCAACGTGCAGATTTCGGTCGACTGCAGGATTTGCAAAGCATGTGTACAGCCAACTGGGCTTGATTTGATAAGACCTGTTTCATCACAATATAGATCTTGATTATCGACCAGATCGTCTTCACTGGGCGTCGCCATTTTGTTTGAAGCGACTGTATGTGATATGAGAGATATCACTGGTGACATCCATCACAAACACATGCGACGGAAAGTCAATTATGCACCTGAAGAAACACAGGACCATATGGCACAAGTCAAAATATGGAACTGGAGGAGACATGATTGTTGTCGATGATGCGTTTTCAAAATGTCTAACATAAAACTTTCTGAAGGCTTTTCTAGGGTATCTAATGCTGCAGCCTTGATCAAACAATTTTGAGAAAGAGTCATGCCTACAAAAGTCATGCCTACTGACATGAATATAAGTGACTGAAAAATAACGACAATAAACTTTGACAACAGCGTGGGAACAAACTGGAGCACTTCCCAAACTACTGGAGTTTGAACCTGGTCAGTGACACGCATTATCTATGTTTTAGGCATTGTATATAAATACCTGGCATAGCGTGTCTCTTCTCGGAGGAGTAGGCATGATAAATGTACTTGCCAGTCCAATGTTTGTTTGCTGGAGTCGGGAGTCTCAGCCTACCAACGTTTCGAAGATACCCACAGCTGTTAGGGCGTGAACAGACGGACAGTTTATTTAAGTCTCACCACAGTACATCTGTACTAAATACTAAATTTATATTATTTTTTTGAGAACCAGAAAAGTTCTTTTCCTTCTGGTCATCTCTACACGTACTGTTGTATGTTGTGATGTTCTCATTAACTATCGGGGCGGTCGGGTAGCCTAGTGGTTAAAGCGTTCGCTCGTCACGCCGAGGACCGGGGTTCCATTCCCGACATGGGTACAATGTGTGAAGCCCATTTCTGGTGTCCCCTGCCGTGCTATTGCTGGAATATTGCTTAAAGCGGCGTAAAACCATACTCACTCATTAACTATCATTTTATATGTACCGTTTTAGGAATACAGTATGTATTTATATATACACAGATGTCTTGTATAGTTGTCCATGACAATACCAGCAATATATAATACGGCATAATAAATGTATTTGTATATACTTAGTCAAATGCAAATAAGCGTCCTTTAACAATAATGTAACAGTTGCTGCTTGCCTGTAACTGAAAATATGGAAAGAAAAAAAGAAAGAAAAAAGGTTAAATACATACATGGACCATAAAAAATACATAAATAAATCGCTTTTTTAAACATATTATGGCATGTTTTGGCGGTAACATTTAAAATATATTAGACAAATTAAACACTATTTTTGTCAATATCACACGTGTTTGTAAAAGTTTAGTATAACTCAAGACAACTGTTTAAAAGTCTACGACGGTTAACATTGTATACACTCACTCACTCACTCACTCACTCATCCCAAAACATACTGACTCACTCGAGGCTTACCTCTTCCTCCGTCCATACAGGTCGCAGCCCCAGTGTATGGGATGTATACTCTCACACGCCCGGTAAAACAGACCATGGAGACACGGGCGACGTTGCAACAGACAGCTACAGCAAGTACATCGACGATATTAACATGCTCAAAGAGTTGGGGGTAATTCGTCGTTTCCTTTTCCGCAAATATATAACTTTCTTATTAAATAAAAACAGAAAATATATGCATAGCAGTTTCAGTTCACCCAAAGACAGCTTGAACTTTTCCAGTCAAACAACGGAAGACATTATTGCATAACATATTTATTTATGTATTGTAGAGGAACAAGGTTTGAAATATGCCAACAGACTGAGATATATTATATTAAAATATGCCATGTTTCACCACCAGGTGAAGTCGTACCACATGTCCATATCCTGGTCTCGCCTCATGCTCAATAGAACAGATGTAAACCAACCGGGCGTCAACTACTACAACAGCATCTTCACCGCCCTACGCAACAGCAGCATTGAGCCCTATGTGACGCTGTACCACTACGACTTGCCGGAGTTTCTGGAGAGGAGAGGAGGGTGGCTGAATGAGGACATTATCCACGACTTTGAAGTATACGCCAGACAATGTTTCACACATTTTGGAAGTCAGGTAGACATGCACGAAATAAGACATGATAAGTGAGCGAGTATTGTTTTAGAAGTCCAGTATTCCAGCCATAGACCGGCGGATACACCAAGAGAACTTATCGGGAATGGAACCCGGGTTTTAAGAACGATCTTACACCTAAAATGCTGTCCCACACATAATTGTTACGTTTACAGAATCGGGTTTGTCGCTTTTATTCACATCTCTTTTAATATTATGTTTATTTGACGATAGGGTAGTCTTCTTGTTCCAATGATCGAGTTACGTTTAACGCCGCTTTAAAAAGTTTTTTGAGGAAAGCCCGAAGTGTTGCAGGTTTTAGACGTTTGCCCGTTTTGTGAAACTCTAGAACACGGGTATATAAATGACATACGTGAAAACAATATGAGGGGGTTACAGGAATTCGAAGATAGGTTCACTGGCTTCTGACACGCTTCGAAATTAGAGGATCGAACCATCCGCACCACCCATTTAGAGAGTACCTATGACGTCGCAGTTCATAGATAGATATGTTTTCAGAATAACGCCCTTGTTTAGATTCTGAGACTAAATAATTCCCCAGTACCCATTTATTCGTAAGAGCCGGCCAAATGAGGATCGTATGATTATAATGTTTGACCTACTGTATTGTTTTATGGAACCTTTGGTCATAAACTTGCAGTTGTCCTGTTATTGTCTTTATATCTTATGAATTCGCTACGATTTTGAACACAAAATACCACCGATTTCAGTGGCTCGAACTTGCCAATAGTCAAAAGTATGAACCATCAGGCTTCAGGGCGCGGAAAAATCGCAATGCGCTTAAGAATCGTTTTTGTCCAGTACAGACTGTACGTGTACGCCAGCCCGAGATATTTTACATACGTTTCTTATAGTGTATCGAAAGTGTAAGTGAGTGAGTGAGTATGGTTTTACGCCGCTTTTAGCAATATTCCAGCAATATCACAGCGGGGGACACCAGAAATGGGCTTCACACATTGTACCCATGTCGGGAATCGAACCCGGGTCTTCGGTGTGACGAGCGAACACTTTAACCACTATCCTACCCGATCGCCCCTTCATCGAAAGAGTATTTGGAAATTCTGAGAGCCGTACTCTTGCATACATTTACAAGAATACAATGTCAACTGGCAGCCAATTGCAACTAGTAACCTCATTAACAGGCCAATGCTATTTGAAAATTGTAGGTAAGATATTGGGTATCAATGCATGACCCCCGGGGCGTGGCGTGGAGGGGGTACGGGCAAGGAACGGCACCCCCTAGAAGATTTGAGCCAGGTTGGAACCCTTACATTGCTGGAAATAACCTACACCGAGCTCACAGGAAGGCCCTGGACCTGTTCGTCGGCCGATACAGAGGAACTCAAGGTAAGTGGGGTGCGAATGTTGTTTGTTTCACGTCCCAGTCAGCAAAGGTCCAGCTATACAGGCGGACTGTAAATACTTGGAATCAGTGAAGAGTAATCCTTCAATTCAAACCTACATGCAATGTCTTGGTACACACATAACATGAAGTGTTTCTTAGAGAGTCGCTTCCAGGACTATGTTCCAGGGGGGCAGGGTACGCCTTCATGCGTACGAAAGCCTAATGATGCCACTTTGGAACCATAATTATTATTTTTTCGAATAGAAATTTCTCGTTATTTCAATTATTTTCTCGTTACTTTGAGTTTTTGAAATAAACTTGAATTAACGAGAAATTAATCTGAGTAACTAGAAAATACTCGAAGTCACGAGAAATAAATTGAAACTTCGAAAAAATAATTGAAATAACGAGAAAAAGCTCGAAATTTCGAGTTTTTGAAGTAAACTTGAAATAACAAGAAAATAATCAGAGCAACGAGAATAAACTTGAAATAACGAGAAAATTATGGAAGCAATGAGAAAAAAATCGAATTTTAATGTAAATTTTTAAAAATTATGATACCAAAGTGGCACCATTAGGCTTTCGCACACCTTTCGTCGTTATTGGATAGTGATTCTTAAATATGTTTATTATATAGTCGAAATCGTACAATGGACTGTGCATTTATCAGAGATGCTACCGGGGCCTAGACATGCTTACCCTTTCGCGATCCATGGTGTCATCAGGGATCATGATTTTCAGTTATCCATTCACTTATTTTTTCACTGCTATTTCGCCTTTCACGATCAATGGAATCTGTTTCCGCAGAAAATCGAGACTGAATATTGTCTGGCGTTGATGTTATATATTTTGAGCATGACGTGTTTGATAACAGGTCAACTGGGGATATCGCTAACAACTAATATATACCAACCCATGGATCCTTCGAATCCCGATGACGTCCGAGCTAGTGACAGAGCGCTTCAGTTTGACTTCGGGTGGTTCATGTCCCCCTTGACCACGGGTAGCTACCCGGATATCATGACGCGCCAGGTTGGGGAGAAGAGTCAAGCCTACGGGGTACAATCCAGGCTTCCCCGGATACAGGACTACCTGCCTTCAACCACCCGTACGTGCCAGTGTTAAATATGACACATGTACTTACCTATATATTCACTGATTATTGAAATTAGTTTGAATGTTTGTTAATCATTTAATGCCGCGCTCAGTAATGTTCTAGCTATACGACGGAGGCCTGTAAATATTCGAGTCGGACGAGTCAATCCAGTGGTTGATATTATGAGCAACAATCTTCGTTGTCGGGGCTAGATGACACTGACCACCAGATCCATTCTTATGATTAGCATAGATTTCATAGGACTTTTTCATAGGAATGAAAACAGTAAAGGTGTATGATATATTTTTTTTCAAATAAAGGTTTCATTTTCTTTAGCATACCTCAGTTTACAAGATTACTTACAGTGTACACTGTGTGAGGATTGTTACGAAATTGACAAAGACAACAGACGTTTTTAGGGTGCGTATTTGTTAAAAGTTTGAACTTAACAGTAAGTAACGGTCAGCGGCGCGTATTTGCAGAGTCAACTGACTTCGTGATAATCACGATCAATGCCGTCTACAACGTGAGCCAGGAACAATGTCCAAGTCATCCTCCTGACTACAGGGATGACCAAGATGTACGAATGGTCAAGCTCGAGGAATGGCCAAGGTTAGTCGTTTGTAAATTAGGAGACAACTACACAATGTTGAATTAGGTTACCTGTAGATTTGTAGGCGCTAAATTGATTTTGGAACCGAAAGAGCTTCTTAGCTTCCAAGGCGATGCGGCTGTCAAAGCAGCTGTTTCAGTCAGAGGTAGTTATTGTGATTTGATCGTTCTTATGGACTCGTGTATTATCCAAATTCATGGTAGAATTCCAAACGTAAAAGTTCTTACTTATCTTAATATAATCTGAAAAATATAATCCGTGTTATAATTCTTGAGCACTAAAGCTTTCAAAATATTTGGACGTTCAGTGAACCCCCCTTTTTACGTTTGTACCAGAGACTCGGTGAGATCGTTCCTGAGTTACATCAAGAGCAACACCTCCATGGGGATGTATGTGACTGGTGGGATTGCTACAGAGGATGCCAGTCTGCGGGACATTCACCGTGTTGACTTCTTCAAGTGGCATGTTGACCAGGTCCTGAAGGGTAAGACCCAGGGTGGATGTATATACATGGTAGTTACCTTGAACAGTAATGAGGTAATGGCTTGTCGGATAATGTGGGAGATCCAAATAGAACATAGGTCGTGGGATTTTACTACTTTGGAGAAACCCACAAGCAATGCTGACCAACCAAGAATCATACTCAGAGTGAATCTGACATAGGCAATCAAGACAGTGTTTAAAACTCCAAGAGAAGAATGCGTTCATTGCATGCATGAATATCTTTTTAAACTCGTGAACTTACACAAATGAACTGTTTTATATGAAGGATAAAACACAACCGAGGTTTTTCAAGAGATTTAAAACCGAGAGGCATCAGGATAAGGGTTTTAGATCTCATAAAAACGCAAGGGAAAATATTTATCTTTCATAAAGACAATGACAGGACATTGGGATGACGTCATTGGAGGTTTACAAAATCATTTAACTTGCCTTGGGCGGTTAATTGAATTTATTATAGCACACTTTAGCTTAGAGATGATATTGTTTATGGTTTAAAGTTGTAGTTTTTATAGTTCAAAGTTGCAGCTGTGAAACAAAGACATTTATGTGTCATCTTTCGTTTACATGTGGGGGCAGGGGTGGCCCAGTCGTCTAAGGCGCCGCTATTCGCTGTGCAGAGTTGCGTCCCTTGGGCATGCCAGAAACCTATGATTGTGGGTTCGAATCCCGGTTCGCCCCAATTATGTTTCTAGGTTTGTCAGCACCATACCCGTGCTCGTGGGTTTCACCGAAGTGGTAAACGTCTGCGACCTGCATCACTTCGGGCTTTCCCCCCACATTAAGCTGACACGCCGTGATATGACTGGAATAATGTTTAAAGCGGCGTTAAACCCAACTCACTCACTCACTCGTTTACATGTTCTATATCATGTTTCAGCCCAACAGTTGGACAACTGCAATGTACTTGGTTACATCGCCAGACCTTTAATGGACTGCTTTGAATGGTCCCGTGGCTACGCCCTTAAAGGCGGATTGTTTTCGGTCGACTTCTCGAACTCCGCGAGACCGCGCAGACCTCGCGTGTCGTCTCGTTACTACAAACAAATTGTGTCTGATAACGGAATCCTCCCAGGGTACAGTGGGCGAGGCGGCGTTGCTTCCGGTTTTGTTCCAATGGAAGACGATAGCGACATTCTGTATGATACGTTCCCAGAGGGCTTTGCGTGGGCTGCAGCTACTTCCGCATATCAGATTGAAGGAGGATGGAATGCTGACGGTAGTAGTCACATTTAAGATGTGAAAATAGCAATCATAATATTACATACGAAGATGAGTTTTTAACACGGCAATGTGTTGTATGGAACTTTAATAATATTCTAATGGCCGAATGCCATCCAATGACTCGCTGAAATCCTAGAAATGGCACATGCCTTGCTCTGATACCAACTAGTTGCCAATTTGAGTATTTTCAAGTTTTACAAAAAGAGCTGATTGCTAAGACCTCATTGACAAGTCGCTAATTCAGAATCTGCCGCTGAATCTCACTAACCTGTGTTCTTTTGATATAGGGATGATTTCTTTGTTATGATGATTCATGGGCAACGGTAATTGTATATAGAATTGGTTGTACTTTTGTGATAGTTGACGGGATTAATTGCTTGAAATAGTATTATCATAGATTATTGATTATCTTACGATCCAACACAAAACCCTGACTTTTATTTAACATGTTGTGGATCTGGACATACATGCAGATGTGAGGTTTAATTTTTCTGATTGATAAAGATTACTTGTTTATTTGTTTTACAAGAGATGGTAATTACAATATGAAAACGAACGACAGTGCAGATGGTATCAATGGGAACTATTGATATATTATGTTAATCCCAGTCGACGGACAACTGCAATGAAACGATATATCGACCAATATTTCCCCCTTGTCAAGGATTATCACCTTGACAACCGAATACGTTGTACTTTAAGGCAAAGGGGAGAGTATCTGGGACAGACTGGTTCACACCACAGACAGAGTCGATAAGGGGGCTACTGGGGACGTCGCCTGTGACAGCTACCACAAGTACAAGGAGGACGTTCAGCTGCTCAAAAACTTGCACGTGGGTATCATGTAATGAGCAAAGCCTGCCTCTGACGAGCAACGTAAATAAGAACGACCTAGAGTTGAAATTGAAATCGTGGCTCTCAACCATACCGGGGCGATAGGGGTGGCCCTGTGATGAAAGCGTTCGCTCGTCAAGCCGAGGGCCCCTGGTTCGATTCCCCACATTGGTACAATGTGTGAATCCCATTTCTGGTGTTCCCCGCTGTGATATTGCTAAAATTATACTCACTCACCCACTCACTCAAGAATATCACTTTGATTTAGGTACTAACTCTGCAACACTAATGAAACGACTGAAAAAAACATCATGATGCACTTTATATGAGGAAAACTATGTATACATGCTTTCTTGTTCTATTCAGAGAAGAGCGAGTGACCTTTCTATGTGTTAGAATACAGTGCGCACTTGAATTCATCCGTATTTATGACTTCATCAGTACATCTGTGATAGGACCTATCTATGCAGCGGATGCTACAACCATTGTAAACCTTTGCTAAATCGATAGTCCAAGGGCTGATATGGTGTTTTGTAAGAGATGGTGACGACTTACTCAATTCCACTTCACACAAAGTGCTGCAACCATTGCACACCTTTGGTATGTGTCGATAGCCCTAGGGCTGACATCAATTTTTTTTAAAGTCGGCTCTGATTTATTACCAGTGGACATTGACATTAATCTGGGGACCATTCAAACCCAAGAAAAGCTCTAGGGATGGTGTTGTCGAAGTATGTGGTATAAGCATATTTCTGAGGTCGCTGTATACATGGCGCTTTGGATTCATTTCCCAGAGACGTCGACGTCGAATAGGCAAAGGACCAGTCACTCATGTAAGGGTCAAAGAGTCACGCTAAATGTTTAAATGATGAAATATTACAATGTTACCCGATGGCGATTTCACCTTGAAGGTATCTCACTACCGTTTCTCCATCGCCTGGTCACGAGTTCTTCCAAATGGCACACTCTCTGGAGGGAGGAACCAAGAAGGCATCGATTATTACCACAACCTCATTGCTGAACTGCGCAAGAACGACATCAAACCCATGGTGACCCTCTACCACTGGGACCTGCCACAAGCGCTGGAAGACCTGGGAGGCTGGCTGAATGAAGACATTGTCCATTGGTTTACCGACTACGCCGACTTATGTTTCAAGGAATATGGCAACAATGTAAGTGAAGGAACATAAACATATTTAACCTTTAAGCAATTCTATGCGCGTATACATCGTGTAAACTACAATTAATGGAGATAATTGAGCTTCACAAATTTTATTTTTATTTAAGAATTGACTTCAGTAGATCTCAAACACAGGCAGCCAAGTGGTCGGAGACGGAATTCATTATGATGAATTCTCTGTGCAGTGTTGGGTTGCTTAGCCATTTCAGGATCCGTTGATCGAGGATTCGAATAACGGATTCGACCTGACTTTACCTTCCTGTGTCACTCTCTACACATGGTCTTTTACGACCACATTTGACACATAGTGATATAACAGAAAGGGTAGTGAGAATGTATATATTACCTAAGGTACTAGTTTCCTAACAGACTTTCTTGAAATATATATACCAGTTTTTGTAAGATAAGCCTGTTTGTGAATGTATATCTTGAACTGGTACATGTACATGTTTATACAGACGATACAGTTTATATGGCCCTGTGGGTCTTCTTTATTAGAACATAGGTCTTAAGCACCCAATGCTGGTCGTAAGGGACCACACATTGTGTGTGGGGGTTATATTTTTTCAGCAAATTCAGATTTTTTATTTAAAACTATGAGCCTGCGTGCTTATTAAAGAATAACTCCTTGCAATAATGTACTTTTTGTGGCAGGCAATTGTTTTAAACGGTTTGATGCATTCTTATTTATTATTTAAAATTATGTTTTTTGATAAAATCCCTAGGTGTCATTATGGATCACGTTTAACGAACCACCTATCATCGCCATCGACGGTTACGGCGAGGGAAATTTCCCTCCAATCAAACGTAACCTGACACAGAACCAATACATTGTTGCACGAAACCTCATCATTGCCCACGCGGAAACCTTTCATCTTTACAATGACACATACAAAAGCAAGCAAAAAGGTGAGATGTTTTTTTCCTAAAGTGCTGGGCAAAGAAATTGTCAACTTTGGATTTGACCCAAAATTACAAACGTTATAAAAACGTTATTTGGCTGAAAAAGTCGCCGAAAAACTGCACACTGAACGTCCATAACACAACCACGAAACCCGTACCATCATTAATCACTATCGAATAACCATATCTTGTTTGTTCATTTTTAGCAACAATAAAACATGGATGTATACTTTATTTTGTCCGACTGTTTATTATGCACGCGTTATGAGTCCTTATTTGCGTTTCACATACCAGTTTTATCGCAGTATCAATTATTGATGTGGATGATTTATCATTAACTGGGGATGCGGGAATGAAACCTCTGTCTTCAATGTAACCTGAGGTAGATACCGGGTTTACTTGTGCTCATGCTAAGATTTCTGCTATTAATGTGTCGTTTACCTCATTAGTTGGTTCATCATTGGTGAAAGATTGTCCAATCTGACCTCATCGCATTAAGGATGCTACCTTCAAAGTAGAACCATGTTACCAGTTTCTCGGACACCTGTCATCATCGTAGGCTGATACTGAATGTGTTTTGTCTGGTTATGACATTGTTCAAATGACGTGTCAATGACGTGATTACGTTCATCATTTTACTATGAAACTTGTTGAATATTTAAAATTAAAGAACACAAAAACACACCCAACCAACATTAACATACGTATAAATGATATTTGGTCAGGGGTGTACTTGCACATGTTCGTGAAAGTTACATGTAAAAAGGCCTTGTTTTGTTTTTATATTTGAACGTTTTATGTTTTCTATATAATTATCTTACTTTAGCTCTAATTTATTGTGCTGTGATACAGATAAATATAGTGACAAGCAACGACGGTGTACATATTTTGACTCTGTGTTATCTGTGTACAAGGAAAGGTCGGGATAACCATCAACTACTTCTGGAGCGAACCAAGGGACCCTCTGGATACCGCAGATGTTGAAGCGGCGGAAAGGTCAATAGAGTTCTATGGCGGGATGTTTGGCCATCCTATATATGTGGACGGGGACTTCCCTCCTGTGATGAAGGAAAAGGTTGCTCAGAAAAACAAGGAATCGGGCTGGCCCGAGGACAGGTTACCACCATTTTCTGAGTCGGAAAAGAAAAGAATAAAAGGTTGACCTTTGTTTCACTTCCATGAACAGTCTTAACGTTGTAAGAAATAAATTATACAAGCTTAGTATCGCTGCATCTGTTCGCAATTTATACAAAACTTATATTTTTATCTGAAAAACGTTTTGATTTACCTAACAATTTATCCCTTTACATTCGTTACCAACATCCAGTGTTTGTAACTTACGATAAGAGCACAAATTCATATCGATTCTATCGATGTCAGCTGCCGTCTTCCCGAGGCAAGAGAGTTAACTGACTTTAAAAAACCAGTTTCCACCCTTGCCGAACTAGGCTGGAATTCCTGGCCTCGACCGTTGCGCTACCAGTGGCTGTAACGCGTTAAACCTCTTCTATGGACCAATCAGATGCCACAACGAGTTGGCGGTGCACATGCCTCACAAATCCTGCAATCGACCGAAATCTGCATGACAGTTTACGAATCGGATTTCGATTTCGTTGCGCTATTTTGATTGGACTATGCATCAACTCGTTAGTCCAGCCAAAATGTAACCCCATAATACCAGCCTAGTTCGGCAAGGGTGGAAACTGGACTTTTATAGTCCGTTAACTCTCTTGCCTAGGGAAGATGGTCAGATGCATACGTCAATGTCTCTATTCATTTTATTACAGGCACACACCATTTTCTTGGACTTAACTTCTACGTTGCCAGTCTTGGCCGTGATGACCCCCAGCCTGTCACCAATCCACCCACATATAATAACGATAAAGACGTCACAAACTACAATAATCCAAACTGGCCTGGGTAGGTGGTCCTTGGCAACACGGATAAAACCAGATGGTGTAATTTTGCTCAACATTGAAACCTCTTTAAAAGAACATCATGTTCTCGATATATCTTTTTGGGGTGACATATCGTTATGATTGACTGGATGTGTTGTCTATTGTCCCAGTATATTGTACATGGTTCTCAGGACTTCGAGTTAATATGGTTTTTGCCATACCTGTATTAAGTTCTCTATAGAATGAATGTCTCACAAGAAGATGCGTCTTTAATTTAATATTAACATAATGCTTGATTTATAACTCTGTACTGCCCTATTTATTTGTAACAGTCCGCCGTCATATAGCTGAACTATTTCGGATTGTTTCGTTTGTTTTGTTATCGTTTAACGCCGCAAAGAAAGCAATTCCATGATTCGCTACTGTTGTTGTCGTGGTGGTGCTGGTTTAACGCCACAGGAATATTACAGCTATATGGCGGCGGCCTATAATCGAGTCTGGACCTGACAAGACAGTGATTAATATTGTCAGTCACGATCCACGCTGTCGTGATACGATGACACGTTGGTTGGTTTGTTGTTTTACGCCGCACACAGCAATATTCCAGCAATATGACGGCGGTCTGTAAATAATCGAGTCTGGACCAGACAATCCAGTGATTGACATTATGAGCATCGATCCACGCAATTGGGATAGATGACATGCATCAACCAAGTCAGCGAGCCTGACCACCCAATCCCGTAAGTCGCCTTTTACAGCAAGCATGTGGGTTGCTGAAGACCTAATCAATCCAATCCTTGAGCCTATTTAAGAGTGACTAAACTAGCAATACGTTAATATTCACTTTACGATGTTTATTGACATGTGAAGGTATTTTGTAATGTTGATATGTTCCTGCAAATTATTATCATTAACATTGAGAGTACATGTTTTTATCACTGAAAATTAGATCTGGATCTGAATGGCTGAAGGTGACACCCTGGGGATTAAGGAAAATGCTGAACTGGATCAAGTACAACTACAACAATGTGGACGTTTACATCACAGAAAACGGTGTCTCCGATCGGAATGGAACGATCCATGACGATCACAGACTTCGCTTCTATCGGCTTTACATCAACGAGATGCTGAAAGGTAATGAATGGTTAAGTTATTCAACTGACAGAACTTTGTATTTCCTATAACTTTTGTCGTGTTCGCTTTGAATTTTTTTTGTTAATTTTTCTCTGAAGTCAGATGTGGAGTTATCCCCAGTTGAACTTAGGCTAGTGCAATATACTATGAAGTCTTACTCCCTGTATCCCACCTCTTTATGTATGCATCACTTTAATTGGAGGTGTTCAGAGGAACAAAACCCGTGAAGATCCGGGCTAGAATAGGTCTTCAGCAAACCATGCTTGCCATAAAAGGCGACCATATGCTTGTCGTAAGAGGCGATTAACGGGATAGGGAGGACATGCTCGCATTGGTTGATGCATGTCAGCGTATCCCGATTGCGTGGATCGATGCTCATGTTGTCAATCACTGGATTGTCTGGTCAGATCCGAGGAACAAATTTTGGATATTTTGTTTGCACAAAAAGAAATATCTCGGAGATCCAAGGGTTCGAGTCTTAGTCGGTAGGAAACTGTTTTACTAGTCAGAATAGAAAAAAACCAAACGCTTTGACAATAATATCTTTACACATGTAAATTTGAAAATACGCAGTATTTACCATATTTTCTATGATGATTATGGTGGTGTTGGAGACATAAGGGCGATGTCCTATTTTCATGGACCCGTATTGGACCCGTGGGTGGAACAGGTCTTCAACAACCCATGCTTGCCGTGAAAGGCGACTATGCTTGTCGTAAGCGGCGACTGACTGGATCGGGTGGTCAAGCTCGCTGACTTGGTCGATGCATGTCCACGTATCCCAATTGGTGTCATGGTGTCAATCACTGGATTGTCTGGTCCAGACTCGATAATTTACAGACCGCCGTCATAGAGCTGGAATATTGCTGAGTGCGGCGTTAAACAACAAACAAACAAATAAACTGTATGCATGCATCCATTGAAACATGGAAAAGATGAACTGTTCATTTTAAAAGTTGGGTACAATATGTGTCGCCGTTTCTGGTGTCCCCCGCCGTGATATTTCTGGAATATTGCTAAAAGCGGCGTAAAACCTCACTCACTCACTCATTTCAAAAGTACTTTGTGGCAGTGGGTACAGAGAAGTCATCTAGCTGGAATATTAAATCGTATGTTAGGGATATATCACTGTGACAGCAGTGTAATGGCCTTACATTAATCTTGCAGCCATCAAGTTGGACGAGTGCAGTGTTCGGGGGTTCACGGCATGGTCCTTGATGGACAATATGGAGTGGTCGAGTGGATACAGCGAGAAGTTCGGGCTTCATTACGTCAACTTCAGTGATCCTATGTTACCACGCATCCCCAAGGCTTCAGCCAAGTGGTACGCTGGGCTGGTTCAGGACAATGGGTACAAGCCCGGGTACTCGAGGCCCGGGGGTAGGGGATCTGCCGTGCAGGGGGAAGGGGAGTTTCACTACGGGACCTTCCCCAAGGGCTTTGTGTGGAGCGCCGCATCATCTTCTTTCCAGGTTGAAGGTGCTGTCAAGGAGGATGGTAAGTGAAAGCTGTAGCTATCATTAGGATCTCAAGGGTATATTTCGGTCACTGCTTCAAGACCTAAAATAATATCCGTGTTTGTTTGTTTGTTTGTTGGTTGGTAGGTTAACACCGCACTTAGCAATATTCCAGCCATATGACGGCGGTATGTAAATAATCGAGTCTGGACCAGACAATCCGGTGATTTAAATGATGAGCATCGATCTACGCAATTGGGAAACGATAACATGCATCAAACAAGTCAGCAAGCCTGGCCACCCGAGTCTGTTAGTCGCCTCTTACGGCAAGCATGGGTTGCTGAAGACCCCCCCCCCCCCCCCCCCCCCCCCCCCCCGATCTTCAAGAGTCAGTCAAGACATTTATCCCACAATTATTTCATATATTTGTAAACATGAGGCAAAATATTTTTTTTCCAGGATTTTCGGGAACCAAATATATTTATTTATTTTACCTTGTTTAGACGGCCTACGCCAATTTCGTTGCCGTGCATTGTTCGTATTGTAAATGATATTTTTTATAGCTGGCAGTGCTTGTTTTTACGAAGATCTCAGCACCTTCTCGTTTCAGGACGAGGGGAGAGTATTTGGGACAACTTTCAAGTCCTAAACAACGATTCAGGCAGCGTGGCATGTGACAGTTACCACTTATACTCCGAAGACGTCAAACTTCTGAAAAATCTTGGGGTAAAACTGTAATTTGATTGGTTGTTGTAGGGCATACGTAATAATTCTTATTAAACAAATCAATATAAATGATTTCCTCTGGAGAATGTATGCATATGTACATCTGTTTACATCGGATATTAATTGCAAATAACACCCTTGAATTCTCCAAAAACATATTAAACATCCTTATCATTGCATTTTTTCTTCACAAGGTTAATTCTGATAAACATAGTTATCCTTCAAGTTGTATTTTTTCCCTGAATTTCGAATATACGTCGTTAGTATTACTTTATTTTCTCCAGATAATATTAAAATACACTCTCTCAAAAAAGAAACACAACCCCTATATTTTCAAGATGTTTATCTCAATATTCAAGTTATTATAACACATTTATTATTGAAGACAACAACATGAAATTTGGCATGGTGGCAGTACAGTTATGCAAGTTTAAGTCCAGGCTCCGACAGTTCTCTCACTAAGATTGACTTGACGCAAGGGGGCGTCTTTCTCAGTACCTCGTATGAGCGCCACGAGCTGCGATCACAGCATTGCACCTCCTTGGAACAGAACGGATTAGACGCCGGATTCTTTCCTGAGGGATTGCTCTCCACTCCTCCTGCAGTGCAACGGCTAGTGCATCCAACGTCTCGGGCGGCGGTGTACGTGCACGTACTAGTCGATCCAGATAATCATAAAGATGTTCGATTGGGTTGATGTCTGGTGATCGGGAGGGCCATGGTAACACGTTGACGTTAGAATTCTGGAGAAAATTCACTGTTGCATGAACAGTGTGCGGCTGGGCGTTGTCATGTTGATAGAGCTCCCTCTGTTGGTCGATAATCGGCAGAAGATGAGGCTGTAAAACGTCATTGATATAGCGCTGGGCTGTCAAATTGCCACAAATGATTACCAAGTCTGATCTTTGGTTGTAAGACATGGCTCCCCACACCATGACGCTCCCTCCACCAAATCTGTCGACCTGCCGAACACATTTCGGGGCAAAACGTTAGTTTCCTCTTCTATAGACACGATGTCTTCCGTCACGGCGTTGTAAGCGAAAACGTGATTCGTCACTAAACCAGACGCGCCTCCAGTTTCTGAGGGTCCATATCCGGACGTTGGTGCACCACCTGAGTCGTTGGCGTCGATGTTCGTGGCGTAAAACAGGTCCAATAAGTGGTCTTCTTGCACGTAGACCGGCCTCTCGTAGACGGTTCCTAATTGATTGTGCGGACACTCTTCTCAAACCTGGCACCTATGTTGCAGTGACGGTAGGTGTGGCTAGCCGATTACGTAGGTGGGTGACCCGGATGAATCGATCCTGAGGTGGTGTGGTAACCCTTGGCCTACCACTTCTGGGGCGATCTTCAGTTGCTTGAAACTGGGTGTATTGGCTCCAAAGTAGGGAATCGTTGTTTTATGAATATTGAGGTGCCAGGCAACGTTTCCAAAGCTTTGTCCGGCCTCAATACGACAAATTGCGATATTTCGATCTGCAGCACTCAACCGTGGCATATTCGACCTTGTCTTTCGGTGAAAATGATAGAGTGAATTGCTAATCAACACGTGCTTTTATAAACCCATACTTCTACTGCTCTTTCCATGAATTGCACGTGCATGAGGCTTTTGGCATGGGCCACGTGAAAATTTTGCTCACTATGATAAAAGTAACAATAAAATGCCCTTGTGCACGAAAATTAATGTGTTTGGGCGCTTACGTTAATAAACAGTGTACATGGTATCCGTGCATATCAGAAAAACTGTATTTACAATCAACATTTTTCTTTTTGGGGCTTTCTAACATTTTCAGACTGGGGTTGCGTTTCTTTTTTGAGAGAGTGTATAATAAGTAAAGCACTGCTGTCACCATGGTACAATGTAAATAATTAAAAATCGTTTTCATTCAAAGACTTGTATTACTAACTCCTGTGTATGTTATAAACATCGTTATTGTTTTCTCTTGATTATGTTAAATACATGGTCATTATTGTATCGTGGTTGGTTGGTAGGTTCGTTGTTTAACGCCGCATTTCAAGTTGGAACCTTCATGTTGTTTGTTTGTTTTTAACGCCGCACTCAGAAGTATTCCAGCTATATGACGGCAGTCCGTAAAGAATCGAGTCTGGACCAGACAATCCAGTGATTGAAATCATGAGCATCGATCAACGCAATTGAGATACGATGACATGCATGAACCAAGTCAGCGAGTCTGGCCACCCGATCTCGTTAGTCGCCATTTACGGCAATCATGGGTTGCTGAAGACCTTCTACCCCGGAATCTTCACATCGTGATTCTTCTGATTCAACTATATTTATCTTTATAATTCCACTGATTTCCTATATAAACAATGTAACCAACGGGTCATGCCATAAGGACCACCACTCATTCTGATTATAACAGGTCAACCATTACCGTTTTTCCATCGCGTGGCCAAGAATATTCCCAGATGGCACCAAAGAATCTGTAAACAAACTTGGTATCCAGTACTACCATCGACTCCTCGACGCTCTCCTTGCTGCGGGTATTGAACCAATGGTCACCTTGTACCACTGGGACCTTCCAAAGGCTCTACAGGATAAAGGAGGGTGGACTAATGCGTCCATTATAGGGCACTTCAGAGACTACGCCGATGTGTGCTTCAGGGAATATAGGAATAAGGTGAGCGAAATGAATGAAGTTAGAAACGCTTTACTTACTGGCATGATTTGTGTGGTTGGTTGGTTGGTTTGCTGTTTTACGCCGCACTAAGCAATATTCCAGCTATATGACAGAGGACTGAAAATAATGGAGTCTGGACCAGACAACCCAGTGAATGATATCATGATTGTCTGGATTGTCTGGTCTAGACTCGATTATTTACAGACCGCAGTCATGTAGCTGGTTTATTGCTGAGTGCGGCGTTAAACAACAAACAAACAAACAAACAAACAAACGAGTATCGATCTTTACTGTGATGGTAGTACATGTATGTCCTAAGTTCATAAGTGAAGCAAATCTTATGTTCAGTATCTTCTTTTATGTTTTCGTAAAATTCAAAGTGTAAAAAGAATGTTTTCTCATGCACAGGTGAAACTCTGGATAACATTCAATGAGCCTTGGGTGTTCTTAGTGAAGGGTCTAGGGACAGGTGACCACGCCCCTGGACACACCAGCCGAGGGGTGGAGCCCTACTTAGGGGGACACAATGTTCTGTTGTCCCATGCCGAGGCCTATCATCTGTACAATGATACTTACAGGGAGACGCAAAACGGTATGCAAAATGATATATATGATAAAATTTAAGTTAAAACTATTTCTTGAGTTGGTTGAGGGAACTGTGATAAAGCTTATTCAGTTACACGATGTCTTTTGTCCCGATTGATAAATCATGCAATAAATATTAATCCTAACAAATAATATATGTTTAATATTGAGGAAAAAAAAGGAAGAAAATACTTCTCTGATGAACATATTGCATATGATGTTTATATCACGATCAAGCTTATTGGTTTTGGGCGCAGTTTACAATCAAAAAGTTTATTTAATGTTAATTTTATTATATAAAGAAGCAAATATTATTATCTGAAACGCGATACATGCATCTTGTTTATGGGCCAAATTTGTTAACTCATGATTTTACAGTTTTCAAGAAATGTTCACAAAATTTAATAATTAACTTCCAGGCCAAATAAGCCTCACCCTGAACATAGCCTGGGCAGAACCCAAGGATCCCATGAACCCCTCCGACATTGAAGCATCAGAATGGGCTGTTCAGATGTTCCTGGGATGGTTCGCTCATCCTGTTTACGTCAATGGGGACTACCCAAAAGTGATGAAAAACAGAATAGCATCCGTTAGTAGAGCACAGGGACTAAATGAATCCAGACTACCAGAATTTACAGAGGAACAGAAGAATCGAATTGCAGGTATGAATATCGAGGCAGAGAATTTAAGGATGTCAATTATTATGTTTTGAGGAACACAACGTTTAGGAGTATATACTTACTCCTTCATCAGGTAAATAAATGCTCTGAGACAGAGAACATACATGTATATAAGTACCCATAAGAACAACAAAAGTAATAAGATACCAAGGGTGGAAACTTAACAAGGGAAACCAACAGAAAATTGGAGCTGATAGGTGATTAGCAATGAACAAACGGAAGCCAACACTTAGCAGTAAATTGGCGTTGATGGTTGATAGCGATAGACAACTGGAAACTAGGACTTAAATTATCACTGATTGGAAATGGGCAATGGGCGAACGGGAGTCCGGGGGTAATTAGCACTGATAGGTAAGAAAATGGATATGGCAATGGACAAATAGAAGCTAGCTAGTTAAAAGCACCGACAATGATCAAAGCAAAACATCCAAAGAAGTGGACAGATAGATTCCTTGGTCACAGTCATGGCTGGCTGGTGTCCTGATGTCACAGCAGGACATGAACGAATATGAACGAAAATTTTCTATCCTCAAGAATGCAGTAAATTCAACCAATGAGATTCCGCTCATTTTGCCTATATTATTCGTTTCCATCTTATTCAAGGAACACATGATTTCTTCGGTATGAACCACTACACCACAATGTATGTGTACAAGCAAGATGAAGAATTGGCTGGACGTGGCAAACCCGATTACTTCAACGATCGTGGCATAAAAGATGAACCTGATCCTAAATGGCTAAAGTGAGTAATACTTGGATACTGGAGTGTGTTTTGATTCCTCTACAGAATAACGGTTAATATACCATACACATGCACACAAGTTAAGCGCCACCCACCATATTTGTGAGCTGTTACTTTTGGCACTTAATGATGACTATTATAACGAGATGTACGATTGTTATACGATTGTATATGTAAACCTCATGTGATGCAAAAGTTGTCCCAAAGCAAGTTTATCTTGTGTTCCAAAAGAATATGAGCAGAAAGGAATTTTACCGAAGACCAGAAATTCAAGGATTAGAAAACATAGAAAAACATTTTTTGTCATGTAACTGTCATGATATCAGCAGACCATATCAGGTGTCACATAGATACCCTAGGGACTGCAGAGTCTATTGCAAGACAGAAACGTCAGTCACGTGTGTATGATCCACGGACATTGACCACAGCTTCAACCCTATGCCCCATACTCATTACAAGTCGTTGAATGCTTCTCTGAGGCAAAGGATCCATTCTTCATGAAGTGCGGCTTCAAGTCCAGCGAGATTTTGAACTGGGGGATCACGATGTCTGATTTTCCGGCCAAGAATGTCCCAGAGATGCTCAATCGGATTAAGATCCGGACTACAGGCCGGCCTAGGAAGAGTGGCAAAAGCTTCTTGACGCAGATAAGCCACAACTGCCCGAGATCTGTGTGGTCTAGCATTGTCGTCCATGTAAACAGGTCTTTTCTGAAGAGGATGGTTGTCAAAATGAGATAGACCCCCCGCCAAATAATCAGATGTTCCTTGGTGCAAAACGAGTGTTACGTTGCCTCCGACACGTATTCGACCATCAACAGTTCGTAGCAGCATTCGACACTCGTCAGACCAATGGATCCTTCTCCAGTTGTCCAAGTTCCATCGACTACGGGCACGACACCGTATCAGACGATTCCGCATGTGCCTCTCAGTCAGTTGAGGACGTTTTACTGGTCTTCTGGCGTTATAACCAGCCGCTCTGAGGCGACGCCTTACGGTCATCGTCGAGAGTCTCTGATGGGTAATCCACTGCAGTCTTAAATCTGTTGAAGTGGCAAATGGATTACGTCTGACTATCCTGAAAAGACGTCTATCCTCTCTGACCTATGCCTGTCATTGACATCATTGGTTTGACAATCAAACGGGTGATAACACTGTGATGACGACCCATTTACTGGAAAGGGAATCTCACACAGGAGCAAAATGCAACCACGTGTCTGAAACTCTGAATTTCACTATTTATAGGGTAGGGGAACTGAAGCAACACGTAAAGCCCGCTTTCCTTGTGGTATCTGGACAAATTTTGGTTCATGAAACTATGGAAGCCTAATTCAGTCATACATCATCATATTTCGTATTTCTGATTCCCACACGTGAAATCAAGAGACTATATGAATAAGGTTGCCCTTTACTTTTGTGCATGTTTATTTTCGGGTTTCTCAATTTATCCAATGCATGTTTGAAGGTCCGGGTCCTCGTGGCTATATGTGGTTCCCTGGGGGGTCAGGAAGATTCTCAACTGGGTCAGAAACAACTACGGCGAGGTCCCGATCTACATCACGGAGAATGGTCTGTCTGACAACAACGGTACTCTCAATGACCAGCACAGGATTCTCTTCTACAGGTACTACATCAACGAAGTACTTAAAGGTAAGTTTTCACTCGAGAAAGATATGAATGTGATATATAAGAAGTTTTTACATTCGGACTGAGGTGAATTAACGTGACTGTTTTGATATTCAAATGGCCACGAAGAAAATCATATAATTTATGAATAGTATTCAGTCATGCCAGAATCCAATGATGGTGGGTTCGAATCCAAGATTTGCAATGATAATGAGAATTTTACTATACCCGTTGGTGGTAAAAAGTGGTAAACGTATGTGACCTGCGTCACTTCCACATTCAGCTGACACTTGATGTGACTGAACTAGCGTTAAATGCGTTATAAAATACATATCACTCACTCGCCCATATATTTTGTATGGTAATGCTTCAGTAGTGCTGCGTCAATGTAGACTTGTACTGAAGTATGCTGTTAGGCTATTCTGTGCTACGTAACCTGAGTGTACCATAATATGTTGCGGCATGCTGCACTGTAATTACAGATTGAGGACCAGCTCCGTGGTCTAGTGGTAGAGCGTCCGTCCGGGGATCGGAAGGTCCGAGCTTCGATTCCCGTCCGCGTCATACCAAAAGACGTTAAAAGATGGTACTTGTTGTTACCCTGCCCGGCATTAAGGGGCTCAAACAAGGACTAGTCGTCTGTCTGTATACTGTGTCTGAGTGGGGTATTCATGTTAAACTGTATCTCAGTGGGCTAGCACTATAAATCGGCATCAGTCCGGACAAGTACAAGCAGCCACACACAAACAGGTGCATGCATATCGGTTTGTATATATAGGTCCGGGCTTCGATTCCCGTCCGCGTCAAACCAAAAGACGTTAAAAGATGCTACGTGTTGTTACCCTGTCTGGCGCTCGGCGTTAAGGGGCTAAGACAAGGACTGGTCGGCTCGGAGTCAGTTTACTATGACTGAGTGGGATATTCATGTGGTCTCAGTATCTCAGTTGGCTGGCACTATATATCGGCATCAATCCGGACTAGTACATGTAGCCACACACACACGTGCATGCACTTCGCTATATAAGTGCAATAATCTTGGACGCGACGTTAAACCCCAATTCACCTCACCTCTACAGATTGAGTGTTCAATGTTGTGCCATATTATGTTGTTCTGTACTGGTATAACGAGTGTTGTGCTGGGCTCCTATGGGGTCTTTTGCGTTGATTCAGTTACCTGCTGATAGACATTATGCGATCACTGTGTGTTCTATGAGCTGTATTGCAATATCAATATATATTTGAGTACTTAGCTGTCAAGCACAATCTGTCCACAGCCATTGACTATGACAAGGTGAACGTTAAGGGCTACACAGCATGGGCACTACTGGACAACTTCGAGTGGGATCGTGGCTACTCGGAAAGATTCGGAACTCATCGTGTTGACTTCAATAGTCCAGATAGGACAAGAACTCCGAAGGCATCCGCAGCCTTCCTACGACACGTACGTACATACGTATTCGAATATGCGTGAAAGTATTATATACAACATATTACGATATTTTAAAAATAACCAAAACTAGTTAGAATTCGATTTTGTATTTAACTTTACACACATACGTACATGTATGCGAATACGCCTGAAAGTATCATATACAACATATTACGATATTTTAAAAATAACCAAAACTAGTTAGAATTCGATTTTGTATTTAATTGTATTTTATAAACAAAGATTATTGTTCCTCATCTAGATTAGTTTCATGTACACACAGAGACAAGATGATTTATAGATATGTCTCATGAAGATTTGACGTACACCTGTTAAAGGTCTTCCAAGACAACGGCTTCAAACCCGGTGCTTTGACAGATCCAAATGCGAAACAACTCCCTTATGAGAACGAAGTTTTGTTAGGAGATTTCCCAGCAGACTTTGCGTGGGGAGCAGCTACTTCCGCCTACCAGACAGAAGGAGCCACTGATACGGAGGGTATGTTCTGATATGAGTAAGCGAGTCGAATTAACTCCGCGTCGGGCAATATATCGTTTATATCATGGTGGTTCAGCTTAATGACGAAGGTAGGACCGACGTGATGCAGGTTTCAAACGTTTAACACTTTTGTGAAACCATGGAACAATAATATTAAAAATGTGATTTGAACATAACATCATCGGATTCTGCCGTTCAAACGGTCGCAACACTGCGCAGCGATTTGAGAGGCCTTGACGACCGGGCCATCCTTAAAGGATAGTGAGTGAGTATGGTTTTTACGCCGCTTTTAGCAATAGTCCAGCAATATCACGGCGAGGGACACCAGAAATGGGCTTCACATGTTGTACCAATGTCGGGATTCGAACAAGGGTCTTCGTCCTGGCGAGCTAACACTTTAACCACTAGGCTACCCGATCCATCCTTACAGGAAGGGAACTATTGCTAAATCCATCGTCTGTCCGGAACACAGTATTCCCTCCCTCTCATTGAAGACCTGTCGATATCAATTCTTCAGATGCAAATAGAAATACCCATGCAAAGCTAAACAACCATGCGAATAAGGCTGTTGTCATGGAAATTTTATAGGATGATGTTTTATGGTCCAAAGACACATTTTGCAATTTGACAATAAATATAATTTGCCGGTCGATGAGTGGCCTGATGGTTTAAACGTTCATTCGTTACTCCGAAGGTTTTGGTTCGATACCCCTATGGGTACAACGTGTGAAGCCCAGTCCCCGACTGATATTGCTGGAATATTGCAAAAAGCGGCTTAAATTGTACTCACCAACTCACTATCACTGTTGCCGGGAACCGTATTGTTAGATCCTAATGTGTATTTCAGGGCAGAATAGGCACTATGCTTGTAGTGAGATATAACATTAAGGAAATTATGCTGTTTATTGACACATCCATCGATCGACGATAGGGTAATATGGAAAGCCAACTTGGACATGTTGTGTGTATTTTTACCATAATGGTTTTGTGATTCATGCAGTAAACACAAGATCGATTCTTTGTTATGCTCTGTGAAGCAGTTTAAAACACAAGATCGATTGAATGCCGAGTTCTGTAAAACATGCAGTAAACATGGGTTTGATGTTCTGTGATTCGTACAGTAAATATGGAGCAAGATCTAGTGGTAATGAAATTATTGTTATGGATCATACGACCATTGCTTCAAGATTGTTTGATCAACATTCAATCGGGAATCAAGGTTACAACGTGTGCCATATGTTCCCGAATTTGTTCAGGTAAACACTTGTCTTGACTTTGCATGTGTTTGTGACGGGTGGCAGCAGTGGCACTGGCTACGCTCACATTTTTGCGGAAATCTGGTATCATCAGTATTTCATAATGATTCACAGACATATACTTATGACATAGTCGGAATCGTAAAATGGAATTTGCTTTCAGTCGAGATTTCTTCTGATTATGGCAATGGTTTTGTCGCTTTTTATTTACCACCATAACATACCTAGGACGAGGACTGAGCAGCTGGGACGTGTTCTCGAGAACTTCAGGGAGGAACCCACTGAACCAGACAGGAGATAAAGCGGCCATGTCATTCACACATTATATCGAGGATGTTGGTGCTCTCAAAGCAATGGGGGTGAGGACACAAACAATATTCCATCCTTCAAGGATAATACTAGAGGCATCAATCTATCAGTTACTTTAAGATTTTGATGATTTGCACACCAATATATATCACATACTAATTTGAATATTTGTAAACATTGGTGAAAAGTGCCGTGAAGCAAATAAGGACACTGAATATTCTTTCAGAAAAGGACGATCGCGGATGGATGTTGTGAAAAGTTTAATAATTATGTAAACCGCACACGGGACTTGTACCCATGACATAAATAACTATCTACCAATCTAATATATCTTTTTTTATAGGCCAAGGCATATCATTTTTCCCTGTCGTGGTCAAGGATCTTACCAAAGGGAACGTCTGAAGAAGTCAACCAAGGTGGCATCAATTATTACAACGAGCTGCTCTTGGCTCTGGCTGATGCTGAGATTGAGCCAATCGTGTCCCTTCACCAGTGGGACTCCCCGGCTGCTATTACAAACGGCTGGCTGGATAACGACATCGTGGAAGCCTTCGGGAACTTCTCCAGGATATGCTTTCAGAAATTTGGAGATAAGGTAATGTCGATTCTGTTCAACAGGTTTTAGTAAGATTTGTGTAAGATTTTCCGTATCGGAATTTAACTAATGCCATCTTTTGGAACTACATTTGCTCAATAGGGCAAAATGGGAATATTTCGTGATATGTAATACGTTCTCCGTTTGCTAAATACACAATGTTTTATATTTAAAACGCACGACTCGCAACTCAGAATAAACAGAATGTTCACACAAAGCAGATATTGCCTAATTTCCACGTATTTCGTAGGTTATTCTTGAAGCATATAAGAAATACTTGATGGGCCTTGATCATTACTTCCAGCCCAGGCAACAGCAAGGATTTCAACGTTAATCATTTTCCGTCAAAAACTCCAGGAGCCGGAGTTATTTAAATTTGGACTCATATTGAACTCGTATTTAGTATCTGCATAATTATGATCTCAACGACTTATGTCAGCCCAAGGTGAGACACTGCCTTGCGTAACGCCCGTTATTTTTATTAAAGGAAAGATGTTTGACAAGACCTTGATGTGGAAGAGAGAAGTAGCATATCATACATATCGTATGTCATTAAGGCGCCTCTATTCGTTGTGCAGAGTTGCGTCCATTGGGCACGCCAGAAATCTATGATCGTGATTAATACTCCCGGTTTGCCACGATTTTATTTCTAGGTTTATCAGTGAGTGAGTATGGTTTTACGCCGCTTTTAGCAATATTCCAGCAAAATCACGGCGGGGGACACCAGAAATGGGCTTCACACATTGTACCCATGTCGGGAATCGAACCCGGGTCTCCGACGTGACGAGCGAACGCTTTAACCACTAGGCTACCCGACCGCCCCTCTAGGTTTATCAGCTCCATACCTCTGCATGTGAGTAAATGTCTTACACCTGCATCACTTTCCTACATTAAGCTGACACGTGATATAACTGAAATACTGTTCAAAGCGGCGTCAAACCCGACTCACTCAACCACTCTTACTGTTGTTCAGGATTACCAAAACATATCATTCAGCCATGGTAGCCATATTAGAATACTATTAAATATGTTTTGGGACATACGATGAAACTGAAAATTTTAAGATAGTTTAAAGAGTGCAGATATTAAGGATCAGGTGGAATTGGCGTTGATGCTAAAATCAGGAATTTCTTTCAGGTTAAGACGTGGATAACGCTAAATGAACCCAATACAATGGCAATGTATGGATACGAGTTGGGTCATCATGCCCCTGGGATTACAGGTCAAGGCTACAAAGCCGCACACAACATGATCAAGGCACACGCTGCAGCATACAACATCTACCAGAAGGAATTTCAGGACAGTCAAAATGGTAAGTCTATGCATTATGTAATTACCCCTTTTCGCATTTTGATACCCCATAATATTAAAAAGCCCGGACAATTCACAGTCTGAGTGAAATCTTGTTAACTTGGGTTCTTGGGATCTTCGACAATATATCGAGGTAGGTTCCGTAAATATGGATTCTGCCGCGACCATGGATATTTTTTCGTCTTAAGTATTAAATCGAGTTGATGGATTTCGAGTTAACGAGGTCTTTTTTTATCTAAATGCTGCTTATTTCCAGGACAAGTGGGGCTAGCAGTAGAAACCTCATGGGCTCTGCCAAGGTCACAAAGCCTCCCTGGTGACTGGGCCGCTCAAGACCGGAAGTTTGCCTTCGACTTTGATTGGTTCGTTGACCCAGTGCTGCTGGACGGAGAGTACCCGGATGTCATGAGGAGAGAAGTGTCTCTCAGAAGCAGAGAACAGAATCTTTTCCAGTCCCGGCTTCCGGTGTTTACAGACGTAGAGAGGAACATGATCAGAGGTGAGGAGACACACATTACAACATACAGTGAGTGAATGTGTTTAGTTTAATAGCGCTTTTAACAGTATTCCAGTTATATCACGGCGTGTCGGCTTATTGTGGGAGGAAAGCCCGAAGTGATGCAGGTCTCAGACGTTTACCACTTGGTGAAACCCACGAGCATGGTGCTGACAAACCTAGAAACATAATCGGGGCGAACCGGGATTCGAACCCACAATCATAGGTTTCTGGTGTGCCCAAGGGACGCAACTCTGCACAGCGAATCGCGGCGCCTTAGACGACTAGGCCACCCGTGCCCTGGTCCTGTCTATTTGCAGGCAGCCGTTCCATTGCAGGTACTACTGTGCAGCGTCAGGCAACAAAGAAACACGTACTTTTTCAGAAAATGGCGGAGGCTACCGGTAGGGCATGACATTGCGTACGCTTTTCGGTAACACAATGTGTGCCCAAGGGACGCAACTCTGCACAGCAAATCGCGGCGCCTTAGACAACAGGGCCACCCGTGCCCCCTTACAATATACATACATGTAAAATAAACTGCATGGGTAGTAAACACGTGGCATTGCCTGGGCAACCTGGTGTCTCTTACAGGGATTCAACGGAATCATGACCAACGATCAGATGGGCTGGGACACACACATCTGTGAATTTAGATAAAGACTAGGGAAAGTCATTGTGTGTGTTGTTGCTTAACACCGCATTCAACTCTATGCCAGCTAAATGACGGCGGTCTGGCCCAGACCAACCATAGGTTGATATCATGAACATCGATCTGCAATAACAAAGTCAACGCACCTGGCCACCCTATCCATTTCCCTACGTGTAGGTTGTTGAGGACCTATAGTCTCACTCGAAATCCCCACTGAGAACGGCAAAGGTTGCATGAATACTGCACATGTACTGGTTTAAAGTCCAAATTTAAATTTACTAACTTTCTTTTATATAATCAAGGTATGTAATTATTCCAGAACGTTATTTAAACAAACAATAATGATGCATTCGTGATAAGATTAGTTCATATTAGTTCAATTTCCGAGTGAAGGCTTGATCATTTCAAATATAGCATATATAACACTTACGACAATGTGTGTAACATCAGGTTCGGCCGACTTCCTCGGCATCAGCTACTACACCACCAACCTAGTGGAGGAGCGTCGTCACAACGACGACACCGCCCAACCCTCCATCATTGACGACAGGGCTATCACGGAGTCGGTGAACGCATCAATGACAAGGTAAAGCCCAATTTTGTTAGTGTTTAAGCAAACGTTTTCTTTTTTAAATAGTTAAACAATCCTATTATATTGGTTTCAATGTGTAAACAACATAATGGTTGAATAGTTTTGAAAAAAAATGCAAATTAAATTTTGTGACTTTGCAATTTGGTTTGCTTAGTCTAAATAAACATGTCACATCACTGAAATAAAATATGTACAAATATATATTCACATTTCAGTACTAACTCTCCTTGGCTTCACGTGTACCCCAAGGGAATCAGGATGGTACTGAGAAGGGTCAAACAGCGGTATGGTAACATCCCCGTCTATGTTACCGGTAACGGCGTATCAGACAAGCCAGGCACAACTGATGACACGGATAGAGAGGAGTACATGAAGTCCCACACCAATGAAGTGCTGAAAGGTAATTGTGTTTAATGTTACGACATATGTTTTTTCAATGGTGTCACCACAGACTAATGTGAGAAGAGATATATAAATAGTATCATATGAGCTGAATTTGAAATGGAAAGTTTACTTCACAGAGCTTCTTACATCTGCGGAACAAACAAAGGCCTTATAATTTGCACCTCTTTCTTGAATTCCCTATTGAGTAAAGTATTACATAATTAATAGTTACATCGAGGTAATGCACTAGTCCTCCTTGATCGATGCTCAGGCTCCACATTAATTCAGCACTTGCGTTCTCAATGTCATTGCTGCTTGTGGGCATTATTAAACTTAACATACATCACTGCTTTTACTTCAACAGTTTCACAATGCTACACATATTTTTAATGAACAGCGTCTGTTTCTGAAAAAGAATGAAAACCAATTTTTTTTTTATCCAAATACACAAGCAACTCCTTAATGATTACGTTCTCTAATCGAAAAGGACGTCAGGTAATGTCTCCAGAATCTATAAGAAATAGAGTCAAAATGTTATTTAGCTCACAATATTCTTCTAAATTCTCATGTTTAATCAGAAAATTATTGGAAATGACATATAAATAACAGACTCAACAGACCACCTCATTGTTAATAAACATACACCTTAACACATGAATAAACTTTCATGTTTGTCATGGCACTATTTATTGGCAGATTCATTAATTCAAAGGTTGAAACTGTGATATCCTAGGGACTGCGGACGACACGACATGACATGACATGATTTTCAGTCAGGTGAGCTAAAATGTATGCTCAACTAATGATATAATGATCGGTCCCTAAGATGGTTACCAGTTCATTATTCTCTATGGTCGTTTTTATAACTACGAATTTCAGCTCTACAACTCGACGGCGTAGACGTCCGTGGCTACATGGCCTACTCCCTCATCGACATTTTCGAGTGGAATGACGGCTACAGCGTTGCGTTTGGCCTCTACTACGTCAATTTCACCGATCCTAACCGTGCACGGCAAGCCAAAACATCGTCAGTGTATTACCGTAGCCTCATCAGAGACAACGGATTCTTCAAACCCACGACGCCAGTGATCACAACCACCTCAAAGCCAAAGGTCATCATCCGTCACGAATGTCCACCATCATCAACAGTCGTTGTGATGACCTCGCCTATATGCCTATTGACTAGTGTTATTGTTATGTTGTTCATGTATCATAAATAACATTGAGCGTTATAAAGGAAATGTACATTGATAGTTATCTTGGCCAGTTTATGCAGTGTCAAGTTACGCGTGTCAGGTCTAAAACCACATATTGTCGTTTATTTGAATTACTGCTAGAAGAATCTGTTTTAAAATAACCTATTTGTTGATTAATATAATTTTTTATGAAGACCTAGTCATATTTAAGAGATATTAGATTGGTTCGATGCACAAACGAACCTATGGTATGTTGTGTGAACCGATGCACATGAAACATCACATGTGACGTCATAGATCCATGACTCGAGATGCACCATTTGTCTCGTGCAGGATAAGTGTGTAAAGTTTTGAAATCACGTGCAGGATATGGTGATCAGAATAAAGACACTGTGTGGTAACACTGACTGATAGTTAGTTTTGTCATTAATTGGTACACATTGGAAACATCTCTTCTTAACGTACATACATGTACTTCTCTATACATGTATGATTCTATAGTTCGCGTTTCTTTTGGCGGTGAGTATATAGATACATATGGGCAGGTTTCAATGAAACAGTAATACCTCTTCACGTCTTCTGTTCTGTATGTCAGGATGATAACCATTTATTCATAATTTGTGTTTTTTAATAAAATCAGTATGAATATATTCTGTTCAGTACACAAAGATAAGATATAAACGATACGATGACAAATGACAGTTACAGTCAATATGTGCTGTTTTATGTGTTTGATTGTAGCTACTGATACATTAATGTGCTGAAAATGATACACGACAGGCAGTTTTAAGTTAAAGAATTGAAGGATAAAGGTTTAGTTCCCACCCTATTCCGAGCCATAACTTGAAGACCGTTCAATTGTTTTCAACAAAACTTGGCGTATGCATTTCTCATCAGCTTAACTGGTGTCTTTTGGTTTTTTGAAATGTTCAAAATTGTATTTTTTCTGTATTCATGGGAACAATTTTTATTTTGTCTCCAACGAAGGTAGTGATCATTTCCGGCCTATAACTTGAAAACTGTGTGACATTTTTCTCCGAGATGGCACATATGCATTAGTCATCAGCTTAACTGGTGCCATTTGCTTTTTTGAAATTTGTCAAAACTGTACATTTTTGTCATGTTTCCATAGAAACAGTTTCGACTTAGTCTCAAACGAGGGTAGGGTTCGTTTCGTGCCATATCTTGAAAACCGTTCAACATATACTGAACAACAAAAGTTCCTGTGACATTGAATAAGATTTAATGCAAAGTTATGTTTTTTACCAAATCTGAAACAATTTCGGTTTGCAACAGATAAAAGACTCCTGTAAGTGTTCAAATGGCTCAATTTGCCATACTGACTTGAGAAAATGCGTGATTTCATAAAAAAAACATGAACATGCCAAAATGTCAATTTACAAATCAATAGCGTGTGTGTTCATCTCTGGTTGCGATGCAAGCAACATATTTTCGTCTCATGGAATGGACCAGGCGTCGCACAAAGTCCTGTGGGATATCTGTCCATATCTGCTGGAGCATGTTTCGAAGTTCCTGGAGTGTCTGTGGAACACTAGGTTGACGTCAAAGGCGCCGATCCATCTCATCCCACATGTGCTCGATTGGTGAGAGATCAGGGGAGCGAGCCGGCCAGGGGATGACATTCACGTTGTTTTGTTGAAGAGAATCCTGAACAAGTCGAGCAATATGAGGCCGGGCGTTGTCATGTTGAAAGGTAATGCCTGGGCCATGACGACGCAAAAACGACAGAACAACAGGACCGATGATCTCGTCGCGGTAGCGCTGTCCATTGAGATTTCCCTCTACCACTATCAAACGGGTCCTCTGTCTTGCTGTAATCCCACCCCATACCATAACGCTGCCGCCCCCGAACCGATCTTCTTCCATGACACAGTGATTGACGTAAAGTTCACGTCGACGTCGGTACACTCGAATCCCTCCATCGCTGTGGCTGAGGTGAAAACGAGATTCGTCAGTGAATAGAACTTGTTCCCACTGTATGGCCGTCCAGCGTAGACGCTGTCTGCACCACTGTAGACGTTCTTGACGGTGGTTTCCTGTCAAAATGGGACGTCTGGCGGGTCTTCTAGCGACAATCCCTGCACTTTTGAGGCGACGACGTACGGTTTGTGAAGATAATCGTCGAAGGCCAGGGATACTTCTTGCAGTCACTGTTGCTGGCTGAAATCGAGTTCGAAGGTGTGTTGTTCGAATCCAGTTGTCTTGTCGATTATTGGTTACGCGTGACCTGCCACTCCGAGGATGGTCTCTGACTGCATTCGTCTGTTGCCAACATTGCCATAAACACCAAATGGTGTTTCTGTGGACGTTAAATTGTCTTGCAACATCACGTTGATTCGATCCAGCTTCAAGCATACCAATGGCTCGCAGACGCTCATTTTCGGACAGGCGTGGCATTTCGTAGTGTTGAATAATTGCGTAGTTTTATTGTTTTTCTGAATGGTTGTTGTCAGCACGATGCTAAACAATGCATATGGAATCCCTTTAACGCACATGTTTTTATACCCATTCTTGGGTAGTGAAATGCATGGGGCTTGCATAAAAGTCAACTTTTGCATGGAGTGCATGCTTTTCTGTAGCAGTTGCGTTTTTGTGACTTGATTCCATACATGTACTACAATTTTAAAACCAAAATTTACTTGTTTGAAAAATACACAAAAATATTGGTGTCACAGGAACTTTTGTTATTGAGTATATTTTAAGGAAACTTGGGATATGCATTGCTCATCCTCTTCACTGGTGTCTTTCATATTTTGAAATTGTTCCAAATTTTATTTTCTCTGGAAACAGTCTTTGTGGAAACAATGTTAACTTTCAGTTCGTTTGCTGCAGAATCGTGCCGATGAAATGCAAAATAGATATAAATCCGAACGCAACAATTCTTCTTAAATGTGAAGATCCGGGGTAGAATAGATATTTAGCAACCCATGCTTGCCGTAAAAGGCGACTAACGGGATCGGCTGGTCAGGCTCGCTGACTTGGTTGATGCTTGTCATCGATCCCAATTGCGTGGATCGATGATCATGATATCAATCACTGGATTGTCTCGACTCGATTATTAACAGACCGCCGTCGTGTAGCTGGAATATTCTGAGTGCGGCGTAAAACAATAATAACTCGTCACCATAACTTCAGACAGCCATGAAGTGTAGAAAAAGTCGTTTAACAAACTATCACGTTAAAAATTGTTGGTAGTTTGATGCCTGTTGTTACAAGGGGGTACAACCAACAAAAGACGATGTCGCATTGACCCTTAGAAAGATCGTTTTGTAGTTCTAAAATCTTCAGAATTAATGGATGACTTGAGGAAACACTTTCAAGTGTCTGACAGCAAGAACAAGAATAGGGAAAGTTGATTTTTAGTTCGTCTATGTTGTTTTATAAACCCCGATTGGGTCGGGGACTATGACGGGCTGTCAACAAAGTCACCGATCATGTCCACCCGACCAATTAAGTCAACATTCCAGTCCTAAAGCGACAAGCATAGATTGCTCTGGACCTTGTCTAAGTCGGTGTGAATTATATTAAGAAAGACACAAAAACAGACCAGGGGAAATGTTGAAGGCCATATGTTACAGACGTTTCCCTTCAGTGAATCTTACAACCGTGGGGTAGGTAACTGACCAAGGTTGTTTGGTTGGTTTGTTGTTTAACGCCGCACTCAGCAATATTCCAGCTATATGGCGGCGGTCTGTAAAATAATCGAGTCTGGACCAGACAACCCAGTGATTGATATCATGAGCATCGATCCACGCATTTGGGATTGATGACATGCATCAGAGAGCCTGACTACCCGATCCCGTTAGTCGCCTTTTACGGCAAGCATGGGTTGCTGAAGACCTATTCTACCCCGGATCTTCACGGGTCGACTGGAAAGAAGATTCATCCCTTTTATCTTACAGCTTGATGAAGAGACGGCCATCATTTTCAAAAAACGTTGCAGACATTTCTGTCAGATGCAATATAAAGAGTATTAAACTTTGTGTTGATTCCTCTTCATACTATGTCTGTGGTAATAAATGCAACATGACAAAAACTTCTCTTGCTGCATAGACTTGCTTTTCAAATAAAGCTCGTGAAATACACTAACAAGAGTGCCCTGAGAGCACAACATGCCCCGCATGAATTTTTTTAACGAGTTTATATTTTCTGCGATATGTGTATCATCAACATGTCGACATCTTGTGTGTAGAGTTTCAGGGATATTCTCTGGAAACTGGTGGAGGAGTAGATTTCATGAAGCTCCGTAAAACAGGGGCAGCAACTCTGTCAAAATTTGTCGAAAGCTAACGGGACTGCGATATGCGTATCATCAACATGTCGACATCTTGTGTGTAGAGTTTCAGGGATATCCTCTGGAAACTGTAGGAGGAGTTGATTTCACAAGCTTAGTACCCTCTGTTGGACGGACAGACAGACAGACAGACGAACGGACGGACTGCGCCACGACATAATCCCCCTTTCGGCCATTCTGGCCCGGCGGGGGATAAAAAGCCAAATATAAAGTGATGTGTGTCTAAATAAAGTCAACATACCTTTTAACCAAGTTGCAAGAAGTAAGGTGAAATTTGGTTTAATGTCACATTCAAGATTATTGCACTCTTTCAGCGACGTGTATGTTTACGTGTGCTTGTTTCGGAATTGAGCCGGTTTTATATTGATAGCGCTGAGAGATATCAAGCCAAATTATGACTTGAATACCCCTTCAGACACAGTATACTGACTCCGAGACGACCAGTCCTTATTTGTCCCCTTAATGACGAGCGCCAGGCACGGTAACAATAAGTACCATATTTTAACGTCTTTTGGTATGACGTGGCCGGGTGATCAAACCACCGACTTTCCGCGCTCTGGACATACGCTCTACCATTAGACCACGGAGACAGTCTCAAATTACCGAAACAGACACAATTACATAAACAATTGATATTACTGCAAGACCAATCATAGTGCACCAGATGCCAGCAGACGGGTGGATGAGCACAAAGGAGCAAGAGCCTTGTTTTATGATGCGTCACATCCTCCAGAATAATGTCTTTCATTAGTCCCTATTGATACATATACCGGGAACAGTAGGATTTGTTTGATGTCTGAGAAAACCAATACCAGTTATCGCCTGCAAACACCCTTAAAAGGCCTTCTTCTGATTCTACTTATATGATCAATGATACTCAGTTCTTATGTGGCCACAGGAACAAACAATAACAGAAGAGTAGCAGATAGCTGTTAAGGACCACTGGGTCAACTGTATACACTTCTTTGTTCTCACTGCCACAAAATACTTTTGAAATGAGTGGGTGAGTGAGCTTTTAGCAATATTCCAGCAATATCACGGCGGGGGACACCAGAGATGGGCTTCACACATTGTACTCAACTTTTGAAAGAACAGTTCATCTTTTCCATGTTTCAATGGATGCATGCATACAGTTTATTTGTTTGTTTGTTGTTTAATGCCGCACTCAGCAATATTCCAGCTATATGACGGCTGTCTGTAAAATAATCGAGTCTGGACCAGAAAATCCAGTGATTGAAATCATGAGCATCGATCGTCGCAATTGGGATCGATGACATGCTTCAACCAAGTCAGCGAGCCTGACCACCCGATCCCGTTAGTCGCTTCTTACGACAAGCATAGTCGCCCTTTACGGCAAGTATGGGTTGCTGAAGACCTATTCTACCCCGGAATCTCCACGGATCTGCTTATGAATGTAATG